CATCTCAGAGTTACATATTGTACTTTTTACTGTACTACATCTCAGAGGTAAATGGAATAATGTTAAAAACGGAATAACGTAAAAAAATTTAAAAAAAATGCTGGAAAACGGGATTGGGTTAAAAACGAAATTACATTAAAAATGAAATTACATTTAAAAAGTACTTAAATAAATGCATTTTCCGTAGTGTCTCACTATGAAGCCGGGTTAGTAAGAATTGTGCGAATTGTGCGAAGCAAGCCCCCCCCACCCCCCCATGCTCGCTGCCCAGGTGAGGTACTTACATGTATCCTAAGTGGTGACCCCGTGTGTTAGCTGCAGCACTGTGCCCCTCTACCTCAAATAATCCCTCTCACTGCCATAATCCGTTAAGGAGCCCGCCACATCAGTGAAGTCCTCCAGGACCAGGCTGGTGGAGTCCTCACCGGTGGGCAGATCGGGGTCTGATGCCCAAGGGTGCTGATAGCGCTCATGCTGGGGGTCCTGGGGTTCCTCCAAGAAGGGGGTCCTCGGTCCCTGCAAGTGGGGCTGAAACTGGGCCTGATCGGACATCTGGTAGGCCGGCGCCGAGTCTTCGCCCTGCAGGTGCTCCTTGCCGAGGCCTCCGTCACTTCCGCTGCCGCTGCCCTGCGAGGAGGGTGCCAGCACGTGGTAGAGGCTGGGCAGGCGAATGTCCAACAGCACGCCGTTCTTGATGTAGAGCTTGTTGTTGAGGTTGTAGAGCTTCTCGGCGATGTCGTAGCCCAGCATGACGGAGAAGACGCGGGCGATGTAGCGGTCCTTCGAAATCGCCAAATACAGGCGCCGGCGACGCCACGAGATGTAGCGGCAGTCTTCCTCTGCTGTCATGGTCACCTGGGGAGTATGAGTGAAACACCTGAGTACAAGCAGCCTGTTAGCTTAGCTTAGCATGAAGAATGAAAGCAGGGGGAAACAGCTAGCTTGGTTCTCTCCAAAGTAAAAATCTGCCTTCATGTACTATAGACTCTCATTAACAAACAGTCCTTTCTTACACCTGTAGGCCAGACTCACTGTTGGAGGGTTCATTTATGTTGTACTTTTAAAAAAAAGTTAAGTTGTTCCCCAAACTGTACATATTTTTGCTAGCCATGAAGAAGAAACTGTGAAAACTTTAAATGCATTCAAGGGACTTTATGACGTCACCCATTGGTTTGTGGACTGCCGTTATGAAGCCTCGAGTTCTGCGATTTTGCCGTCGCCATCTTGGATCACATTAGCCCCGCCCTAAAGCATCCCCTGCTTTATGGTCTGGTTGCAGCCATATTTCTATTTGTGTGCCTCATTGGTCAAAATAGTAGAAAACCTGTTCAGCCCAGCAGTCGTTGAATGTCTAACATCACGTCCTACTTTAACTAAACTCATCTAGTGCGACAGGATATGTGAGAGACAAGAGGACGACGGCGTCGTTCAGCTCATCAGTCAGACAGAAGAGAAACTTGATATCCAAGTCTTGGTTTTCTCAGGTTACTTTAACATTTCACTGCCACACTGGCATGAAACCGTTCGTACCTGGAACTTTCCCTCCTCGTTTGGTCTGAGAGACTCCCACTCTGGAGAGTCGAGGAACTGGTGGCGGTGGATGTAATGCAGAAACTGCCCCTCCAAAGATACATTGATCCTAAAAGAGAGAGAGAGAGAGAGAGAGAGAGAGAGAGAGAGAGAGAGAGAGTAGGACACAAGTTTTAAAAAGAGAGGGATTAAGGAGTGATAATGAGAGCTGGAGGTCACTTTGTGAGTGAATGTTAGCATGAATATCTCGCTAGTGCAGATGTGGAAAATCTGAAGACTATCGAGTTACTTAAACTCTTAAAACCCACCTGCCCGCTGAAGGGTTAAAGTTTCGGGTTTTAGGGTCAACAACTGAAGCGTTTCGATGACTGTAAAACCTTTAACCATCTATTAAAAGAAGGTTTCACTACGAGGAATTTGTTTTGGTGTTTCGGTGCAAAACATAATCAGTAAGATAAGTAAAGAAAATAGTAAAAGAAAATCCAATCCAAAATAATAATAGGAAACAAATATAGTATAGAAGAAAATTACAATAAAAATGTGACAAAATAACATAAAAAAAATACATACAAACTTCTGTAAGCTGTATAGAAGAAAATGATAATGAAATATAAAAATGGGTACATTTACTTTGATACTTTAAGCCCATTTTGCTGATAATAATACTGTTCTTTTGTGATTTTACATTTAAAGAAGTATTTTCAGACCATGGTATTTCTACCTGTACCACCGCTACATAAATGAAACACCTTCCAGATAAATTGAAAATACCACATTTCTTCTTCTGCCAGGATTCTTTCAGAAATCCCAGTTTAATCGGGACATTCCTCCCTCAGAAGGAAGCTTTATTTTAAAAGAGAATAACTTCCGCAGGGTGAGATACTCCAGCACACTAAACATCAACCCTTCATTGCATTACGTCTAGAGTTTCTGTTTTGTCCTCATTCCAGTGTGAGTTCAATCAGAGCTGCTTCATGTCAATCACCTGACATCTTCTGAAAGAAATGGAAATTATTCTGTTAAAAACTACTCTGCCCCTTTGTTACAGCGGCTAAATGTAAAGTAAGGCTGCTTACAAAGGATAAGACAATGACTTTTAATTAAAAGTAGTTCCTATAAACCAGTGGTGGAAGACGTACTTTGATGTTTCAGTAAAAGTAGCAATTCTACCGTGTACAAATACTCTCTTACAAGTTAAACGTATGCATTGAAAAGTAAAAGTACAAAAGTATTAGCAACAAAATATACTTAAAGTACCAAAAGTAAAAGGATTAATTAATCACAATGGCCTTTTTCAGAATAATGCATGTTATATTATTGTATTAAATGTATTGATGCATAAAATTGTATTTATTTATGCAGCATAGTTCTGGATATCTTGTGAACATTCTTTAATGTATATTTAAAGCGGGGGGGCATTTGAGTTATTTGTCGGGACTCGGAATGACCAGCTTAAAACTGGGATGATCCCGAAAAAACAGGACATCTGGTCAACGTACTATTGTCTCCACGCGGCTCTCAACATGGTGAAGGCTGAGCCGAAGGATAGCAGCTAGCAGCTAGCAGCTAGCAGCGCTACCAGTGTAAAAAGCAGCAACAGCGCTGGCAAAGCTAAACAGTGTTTACCTAAAGGAGGAACCGGCAGGTGCTTCGCGACAACGCCATCGGTCGGGATGGCGTCGTCAGTTGTAACCGCTGTATGAGCGCAGCGCAGCGGCAATTGGCGAGCCGGTGGGGCCCGATCACATGCACTAAAAACCAAGCTAGCCGGCCCGGCTATGTCAACAAAGCACAGAGAAGCTCTGATTACAACACACAGAGGGAGAATGACGTCATCCTCAGGTAGATACTGTATTCCTATTACTTGTGCTCATCTTTGAATCTGAATAAACAAGAAGATGGATGAGCGTCATTATTAGCCTTTTGTTTGTGTTGTTGTTTTAAATTTGGCTCGTACACGCCGAGCTGTCAACAGCGTGGCCAACATTTAATCTAAGGTGATGAATTGAAGAGGAACAGTCAGCGTCCAGACGCACAAAGACATCATTTAACCAGCTGGCAGAGTGCACAGGGGTGAGTCACGGACAGAAATACTCTGTTTACAACATTTCTCTTGTGTTCGGCTCCAGGACTGTGAAATCTAAGGCAGCTCCGCTTTGAGGATGTTTGGACGAAGAGGATACGTTTCCTGTGACGGGAGTCCGAGATAGAAATCCAGATTTGCAGGAGTCAATTTCTTAAAAGCAATGGGTGAGAGGTGGAACGTAAACCAATGAATACTACATTATATATCTGTGGTACATCTTTGGTTTTAGCCTGAATTTCAGTGACACTAAAACCTGCAAATGTCCAAAAAATGTGAAAGTAAGAAAGAACTTCCTTTGGTAAAATAAAACATGAGTATCTGTATTATAAAGTAAAATACTGCAGTCTTTATATACATGCCACTTTATGAAGCTCTTAGAATTCAGTTTTTGTTGAGTGTTTTTAAAAAGTGTTGGTCAGTGTGTGAAAGTGCAATTTTGAGGTACTTGTACTTTAGTTGAGTATTTCCTGCTACTTCACGACATTTCAGAGGGAAATAATATACTTTTTGCTTCACATACTTCATTTATCTGACAGCTTTAGTTGGATTAGGACTTTAAATACAAAACACAAGATCGTCTTATTAATAGATGCATGAATAAAACTGTTAAATTAAATTTGTTATAACTTTACTATCTTATCTATAATACTCAAATTATATGATATAAAAAAACGATCTGCAAAATATATGCTTGACAATTAGGAGCAACTTATAAATTCCAAACACGGAGCTAAAAGAGAGAATACTGGACCAACATTCATCAGCATGCATTGCCGTGTCTCCTAGACGTGTAAATAAGCAACTGTTTGTCAACTTCAACGATGATGAATGTGAGACGTCGTGTTCACAGCCTTGTTTCCACTAAACAAAACAAAAATAATCAGTTTTTGCAGGTTTGAGAAACTTGTAATTAAGTATTTTTACATTGAGGTTATGGCTGTCACGATACGCCAGTAAGGACAATAACTGAAATCATGTTAATATTATATACATGTGATAATATCGTGTAAATAATCCAGCGCCTCTTGAATCCTTTTATATATACTGTTATGGTATCAGACTTTCTCTCTCTACACGCGTATTTTAAGTGTAATTAATTTGCCAAAAAAGAGACAAAACACACAACAAACAAGGTAAAAGTTCCCCCAAATTTTCTAGCAATATTGCGATAATATTGCAGTGTATTTTTCCCTCGATAATCGTGTAGTAGAAATCTGATATATTGAAGTATCACTACTTTTACTCCTGTGTGTTGTCGTGTTGTGTAGCCAGCTGTGTGGTGGTTTGCATTACAGGTGTGCAGATGTTACACACACTCTCCCCACCTCCCAGACAGCAGAAAGGAGAGCTTGTCGATGGCCGTCTTGCCCTCCACAGCGTACGTCTCTCCCGCCTTCAGCTCCACCACCTTGTTCTGGAAGGCGCCTGCGATCTCCTTGAACACCTGGACGGGCACGCCCAGCGGCAGGTACACCGCCTGGTAGAGGGAGGTCAGCTCCTCGCCGCGTACGCCCTCCTGGAGCAGCCGGCAGACCAGGTGGCAGATCTGGGCCAGGCAGGCCAGCACCATGAGCAGGTTCCAGGTGAAGACGTCCAGGCCGCACACGGTCATCCAGCCCCACAGGGTCAGGCAGGTGTGGGCGGGAACCAGGAAGCCGAAGATGAAGAGGCACCCGTAGGCGCCGCTGCCTCCCATGTAGCCCAGGATCAGCATGGTGTTGCCCAAATGGTAGATGGCTCCCTCTGTGTTGTTGGTCCAGCCGTCGCAGAGAGGCGGAAAGAACAAGCTGTCCAGCAGAGTCGAGTTGCCTGCGCTCATGTTTGTCTTCAAATGGACCCAAAAACAAATACGTCTTTATCCAATAAACTCTGGGTGATATCTCAACATGTACAACTGTGACAATAAACAGCTGATGCTGACAGAAGAATGTCAGAAGTGAATGTTTGATCCCTCGGAAAATCCTTCAACGTGGAGAAGTTCTCACGGCTCTATTTGATAGAGAAACACAGCTGGAATGGGTTTCTCCCCTTCTTCTTCTTCTCTCACGATGCGTCCCCCTCCTCTCTCTCTCCCTCTCTCCTTTCTGAGTCTTCCTGTCGTCTCTCTTGTAACTTTTCTCCGTCTGTTTCTCTTCTCACCCACCGGCCTGCACTAGTGGAGCCAACAGCTGGAGGAGAAGGGGATAAGGGAGGGGTGGGCGTTGATAGAGCCCTAGAAGGATAACCATGTTTGGAATTGAAACCCAAGGAGGAGAGAGCGGTGGACAGAAAGCAGGCCTGCTACTTAACATAACACAGAGAGAGAGAGAGAGAGAGAGAGAGAGAGAGAGAGAGGCAGGAAACGAGAGGGAGGACAGGGACAATAACAAATATCTATGAGTGTCACTCACATTTTTAAAAAAGAGTCCCTTCATAAAAAAGCTTTGTGAGTTCAGTTTACTCTCAGGAGACACTCAGCCGGTGCATATTTAGAGACACTGACATGAGCAGGTCAGATTTCAGGTATAACCCCCCCCCCCACACACACACACACACACACACATACACACACATACACACACATACACACACACTGTATACCCGGCTCTCCCTGCTCTGGTTTATTTTTTATTAGAGCAAAATAATAAACAGACAAGTAGTTATAGTAAATAAAGCAAAATGATGGCCTCTGCTAGAAGCCAAAGAGTCTGTTATCTACACAAACAAGAACCTGCACTCTGTCTGTTTGAAGCTGGCAGATTTAAGAATTAAAGTCACTGTGAGGAGCTTTTAACTGGTCCTGAACCAGTCTCAGTGTAGTCCTGATCCTCCATCAGTAAACAGACCATCAGAGAGAAGATGGTCTGTTTCTATAGAGTTATTCTTAATGCTCGTCATCGGAGCCACCGGGTCGGATTCTGGTGAAACCAGATGAACTCATGCGGGTTCACCAGAAACTCCTTCAGCTCAGACTCCAGCAGAGACCGGTCCACCGTGGACAGACCCAGATCCTCCAGCAGAGACCGGTCCACCGTGGACAGACGCAGATCCTCCAGCAGAGACCGGTCCACCGTGGACAGACCCAGATCCTCCAGCAGAGACCGGTCCACCGTGGATGGACCCAGATCCGGCTTCAACCTGCAGCCTTGGACCTGCAGTCAGATCTCCGGAGGGAGGAGGAGAGGCTCAGCTCCCGGCAGCAGCATCTTCTCCTCTCTGGGAGTCAACACCGACACCACGCTGCTGGAGACCCAGGACATATTGCTGGACCCGCTGGAGGGAAGGGAGGCACGGGAGAACCAGAACCAGGACTGAGAGGGGCAGACTGTCAGACCCTGCTGCAGTAAAGTGAGTTTTCTAAAGAGACTCTGGTGCTCAGAAACACGACCACTTTAGTCCACAGAGACCAACAGAACCAACACAACATGAAGGCTCCTTGTCTAACTTTAAATAGATTTAACGAGCTGTGCGATGTGGGACAAATGAAAAGTGAGACACGTTATCTTTGATGTCTTTAAGAACTATTTTAAGGATCTGGCAAACAATCTGCCGTACAGATGATCACAGGTTGAAATTATTAATGAAAGTCTGAATATGTAAATTTTGTCTTTTTGTAGAAACATTTGAAAACGTCTGCACTTCATTAAGGATATAATCTGAGGTCATATTTAAATGTTGGACACAAGAAAATTGTTACTTGGCTGATTTTGACAAACACATTTTGTAAATTCTGCCTCATTATGGAAAGAGATTCACATTTTCAAGTTTCATCAGTAAATTCGTGGTACACCTTGCTGCTGTTCTCTGGTCAAACTAGGCGAGGCCTCATCTCACACAGAGCAGCATTCCCTCTTTGGACGTTATGCTCACAATATAAGAAAGAAGTTAAACAAGGCCTTTGAATTAAACATGTAAACCAACTAGTGACAGTTAAGACAATGTTGAACACCAATATAGTTAGGTTTTTGTACTGTTATCCGGTGGCAAGCGATTCTATAATTCAAATGTGTTTTTGAAGAGATGCTCTTTGAGTTAAAGCATAGATTCAGCTTCTGGAGCAGTTACCGCATCGTAAAATGGATTTATAGCTGAGGTTATAATGAACTGTATTTGAATATTAACGGCTTCTCCGACGTGGTCACACTTGTAACCAAATTAAAAGAAATTCAGGTGCTTATTGGTTGAATATGTGGACAAGCGTAAACAAGCATGAAGAGAGGATAAACCAGTTACAGTTAAACTCATCTGCAGCTGAAACATTTCCAACAGGTTTTACGAACGTGTCAAAGCAGATGTCCACCGTCAGCCACACTTTGTAACGGTGACACACCACAGAGGAAGAATGCAGATATGCCAAGTATTGACTTCTCAGGGGCAGGAGTTATTTTTAAGCCTAAGTGCATACCAGGGTCGACAACTGTGGCAAGCAACCGCTCGGTGGAGAGAACCTTTCAATGCGACCGCACTAAAATAAAGAGCGAGCAGTGGTCTTGCATAGGACTTTTATTCAACAGACAAACATCTCAGATATTCTGCAGACTTTAAAAAATAACTATTTCACAGAAAAGGACAGTCATCCCATGAGAGTCGAAGTGCTTCCTCACATTTCCCTGCTAGTCGCGGTATAAATAAGAGGAAGAGAAGGGAACACCAGGGGTCATCTTTCACAGCAACACACTGCAGGAAGAGAGAAACAATATTAAAAACATGAATCTGAGACACTGTGCCAGCTAATAAAAATGAAAGCGCAGAGATCAGATGAAAACATTCAGTGCACACGTTCGGTGAAATCATTTCTATTCGACCTGAAGATTCCTCTTTTTACGAGCACACGTGAACATTCAGGCGATGCCAGACGGCTAACAGAGCTGCTGAAACGTGAGCTGAGCCGCTTCAGGTGCGTTTCAAGCACATTAAACACTAGCTCCACCCCCCCTACCTCATTACATGGTGACCGGGTCTGATGCGGCACAACGGGATCAAATCAGCAATAGCCAAGAGATACACTTGACCCAGCAAAATGAAGCGGTAATAACAGAACCGTGAATTACAGACGGCTTCATCACTGCAGATATCCAAAGGTTAAATGAATTAACTTTGTGGTTTACAGGGTTCACAAAGAGGCGAACGCTCCTTCAGTTGTCACAATGCATTTGGCAGCCACGTGTCGCCAGTAGAGGCACGCAGACCGAGTTCTACTTCTGTTTGCAGTTTTAAATGGACAGACGTCTACTGCGGGGACAGTTTCCTCTCAATGGACATTTAGCGCCATTAGACTTCCACTGCCCAGTTCTACCCACACTGAAGGTCAGAGTAATGATCAGAAGGCTGGCTGCTGCCTCCAGGAAATCATTAGTATCACGATATGAAGAGGTAATGGAAGGTGAACTGTTCCTTAAACTTCCAGCGTTCTCACTGCTGCAAATATTTCCATACCACTAAAAGCCTCGACAGAATCAGACCCGAGGTTTCTACATGACTGTTGGGTTAAAATGACTCATAACACAACTACAACACTTGCAGGATAATCTAGTTCTGCAGTGCTCGTCATTAACATGCTGAGCACTGTTCAGTGTGGTCGTTCAGCTTGTACTCTGCGTAGGATGAATCAGTAACAGCTGAGGGTCACAAACGACCCAGCACAAAGACATTATACTAGCAAATGAGCTGGTGGGACACCAACAATGAGCAATACTTACCCCACACACACAATGGAGAAGTTAGATCTTGAATCCAAGCGCCCGCATGCAGTCTTTGTGTGCCTCAATCAGGACCGTGCAGCTTTCCTCTCCCTTCTCAATGATGCTGGAAGAAAAACAGACACGGAGGCGTCAAGAAATAGTTTTAACTTAACAAGTAAAGAGTTTGCGTCTCTCTGCACAGGCGCTCACCAAGCGTCCCTGACTTTCTTTGTCTCTGGACAAGCACAGCATGCTTTGAGTGGCTTCTTCTGCTCAGTGGCCTCAGCAGCCGGCTCCATGCAGGCAGCCGACACGGTGGACATCTTCAGACGGATCTAAAAATAAAACTGTTTAATTATCTCACGAGCAGACTTAATGTAGAGCAGCACCTTTTCTCAACTCGTACCTCTAATTTTGCATTTAATTTCCCAGAATAAAAAAAAAATAAAAAAAAAATTTAAAAAAAAAAGCTCTTCTGTGAAAAGATAGGAGACTGAAAAAAAAGAAACCACGAGGGTCCAACCCACATTTAAAAAAATAAAAAAGGGGAACACTCAAATGAGAAGCTGGGACGAGGTAATGTTTAGCATGTTTTAAATATTAAAATATTGTTTTTTACATTGAAAGATTATGCAGATTACTCTTAACAGTAATCGATGCTTTGTTTAAGAGCATATTGCTTATATATATATATATATATATATAAAAAATAATATAATGTAATATAATGTTAGCTAACGCTGAAAGGCAGCTGGACTGATGTAACGTTAGCTTCAATGATGTAACGTTAGCTTCAATGACAGTGCCACACACACTTTGAATTTATTAAAAAGGGGGATAATACTTAGTTGAGAAGATGGGACGAGGGAATATTTAGCATTTTTTTTTAAATATTAAATGTATAGAATATATATTTTTTACATAGAAAGATTAATCCTAAATCATTGAAAATTGAGTCTCGTTGTTTGAGACAAAAACACGCAGTTTAAAGAGATCTCCTCGCGTTTAAATGTGATTAAACACGTTACAACGTCCACGTTTCACAGCTCAAACAACACACCGATTACTCTCAGAAGCAGTCGATGATTTGTGGACGACTTTGATCTGTTTGACGGGCATATTGCTCATGTTATAATGTTACAGAAGCACCACGTGCCTCGCTGTGTTGTGCTTTTACCAGCGTTAGCGAACAGTTTGGAGACATTGCGTAACACAAACGTTAGCTAGCTAACAGAAACAGTTCGTTTTTGGGTGTCATGGCGGGTGAATGACACAATTAAGACGTAGTGTACTAGTTAAAAACGCCGGCTGGCTAATGGGTTATCCTACGTTATGTAACTTACTTGAATGGAGGCTGGTGGTGAGGAAAGAGTCGCTTCACCTTCAGAGAGAAACCAACGGCGGATGGAGAAGAGTCACGTGGTCCGAATTTATGCAGATTCGTGTGCGGAGGCTTCTGGGAAATTGAGTGTTGTGTAACAACGGCAGGAAATTACGTAAAAAAGCAACATGTGACCTAGCAAACAGTTTGATAATCAGAGACCAGAGCATCTGTTAATGTACTGTAAGTTTATTAAATGTATATTTTTATATTTCTAAGGACAATTGTGTTTTTAGTGAGCTAACTGATGTTAGTACTTATTTATCTGTCAAACTCTCCTTTTCTTTCCTTTTTAACGTTTAATGTCAAACATAAAGGACAAATCAATTCTTAAAATGACAGCTTTATTATGAACAAACATCAGATGATTTACATTTCCAACATGGTGCAACATTAACATTACTGTATTTGAATTGGTGAAATTGGTATTAATCAAGCAAAGTTAGGCTAGCAATTAAAAAAAGTGACTGTAAGTGGTGGTAATATAATTTAGAATAAACGAAATAACAAACAAGTGTTTTATTACTATTCACACTACCAGGAATAACCACAAAACAATAAAGTTGAACAAATAACTTTAGACAAAAATATGGTTAAATGACACTATTTTTATTTTGAGGCTTACGTGAGTTAATTGTGCATCAAGAAGCTTCAAGAGACATTTCTATAGGAACATGAAGCAAGCAACACACTAGGTTGAGATTTACAGAATTTACATTCGTCAAAATTTAGAGATCAAAATATAAAAACTGACTGACTGTACTGAAATTAACTGAAAATATGTGGAGCCAGTTCTTTGCTAAATATCCATTTTTTTCCCAATTACAGTTTGAAAGGTGAAGCTATTCGAGTTGACATCACAAGTTCCTGTTTTTTAGGCTGAAAACAAACCAAAAAAACTGATTTGACTCTAAATGGACCATAATGTACTAAATGAACATCATAAACTCATGTTTACAATGTTTACTGAGGTAATAAATCAAGAGAGAAGTAGAGTCATTTTCTCATAGACTAAAGTATAAAAAGCTCAACCAAGAGTAGAAGTAAGTTGATTATGTAAACATAGATAAGATACAATGTGGGATTAAAACATATGTTAAACCTCCTTTTGCCACATTGTCTCCTGCAGCAAAGTGTGATTTGACATTCAAGCATCAGCCTCACCATTATCTATCTCAAGGCAGTTAGAGTGGAATCTTTTTATTGCGCAGTAACGTCATCATCATCATGGTCTTCATCAGCCAGGACAGCTCATGATGGAGGAGGCTGAAGGAGGAAGGCACTGCTACCACGTTTGAACGTGAGTCGGATCATTTAACTGTTCGGTGTCATTGTTTCCTGTGCTTTAACTTCTGTCTCAGTCTGTGGAGAAGTACCATAAATATGCACAAAACTATTGACATTTTAGCTTCCATTTATATTTAGCTGTGAAAAGGTTTTCTAGCACAGTGTTATCGTTTAGTGGTGTAGCTTTTCCACTATTACACAGGTCAATACACAAGAATAATAGGATCACTGTGAAAGGGCTGCAACCTAATCACAGTTTAATACGTGTTATTTTCAGTATTCAATAATATCTCTTTTATTCATCTACTAACAATCCCAACGGAATTCACTTCACAATGATGTAATGATTTAAAATAGAGAAAAACAGAAAAACCTCACATTTGCATTCAGTATCCAACTGCTTGTACTTTGCACACATCCTAAAAGATAAAGTACAATATGAGTCTAAAAGTACATCAGCCTGCAGAATATTGCTGTCTTTCTACACTCTCACCTGCTTTGGCAGATATTAAATTCTGGGGAAGAAGATACACTTCAGTGGTTAGGGAGTTTCATAAAATGAAAAGTGTTTATTTTCTGTCCTACAATACATGAAGAAGTGTGTTTTCACATGTCTGCTGGCTCTACAGTACGTCAGCACAGCGAAGCAGTGCGTAAGCAGAAGCACGAGTCTCTTGTTCTGGTTGGAGGGCCAGCTGTGTGCTAGATAAATGAGCAAGTAAGCATATTATTCATTTTGCTCGGTACCGTGTGTTAGACATGCTCCTCTATTTGAAACATACTTTGCTGCATTCTCTGCTGTGCTCTCCACAGAATCCATATTGTGTCGCACCAATGCAAGTGGTGTTGAGATGCCCTTGAGATGATTCTCAGTCTTATCTGAAGCCTTTGTTTTGGTGTTTCCTTTAGAAACCTGCCCCCTGAAGGAGGAGAGGTGTCAGGGCCGAGTCCTGATCGTCTGCCTTCTCGTCTTCCTGTGTGCACGCAGCGTGAGCAGTCTTTGTCTTTCTTAATCAGTAGACTCAGCGAATTAATATTTACTCATCTAACGTATACTCCGATGAACTCTGTCCTTTGTTGGACATAGACTAGTCACAATCACTAATCACAATCAAGCAGGCTTTGTGGAACGCAGGTCAACAGTGTTGACAGCAAAGCACATCGGCCCAAAAGCACCGGCATCTGACCATGTTTTCAATTTGTATTGGTTTTAAAATTAGCTAATAAATTGGCAACTTGTGAAACAATCCAGTGAACGTTTTCTGTCTCTCTGGTATCTCAAGCTGCTTATCGGACTGTAAACAACGAGCCGCTGACTAAACCAAAACCCCAGATATACAGCGCCAAGTAGCTCTTCTTTCTCATGCTTAAAGATCACCACATCTTATTATAGATTTCAAAAAAGGTTGTTTTTTAAAAACAACATATTTTGTCATCTTTTTGGGGGGATTTGGTTGCTAGCTGGATTTAATGCTCAACAGTTATTTAAAGAATAGGTTTGACATCAAACTATGTTCTAAACGTCTTAATCCTGTGAAAACACTCTGTCAAAACTGTTAAACTCTGAACTGAAAGGCTGCCGGTATGTGATAGATAAGTGTTTCCTGTATCTCTCTACTACGCGTCAAACATTGTTTGTTGAAAAAAAATAATCCCGTCCAATATCCCTCACAATATTAGACACATCTCATGCACTAAGCTGCCACTGCCATGACCCCTCAGCTAATCCCTCCGTGCTGCTACATCCTGCACTGTCATTTCCATTTCTTTTGTGTTTCAACCGTTGCTTTAATCCTGACAAACCTTCCAAGAATAGTATGAATCTTCTACTTTGCAGTCCTTGAAATGAAATATTCTGGCTTCCGTTTGTTTTTTTGTTACATATGTGAAATGTGCAAATAAACAACACGGGAGCTGCTCGGAGCTGAGAGCATATGTGCAGCATCAGGTAACACGGTACAGTGTTTAATTACATCCCCGGCTGCTGAACTTGTCCCTGCACTCGCTGCCAGATGTCGAGTTCACATGACAATAACTGCGATGCCCATTACACACACACACACACACACACACACAGACATACACAGACACACACACACACACACACACACACACACACACACACACACACACACACAGACACACACATGCCATTGTCTTCAGTATTAATGTGAGCTGGACCTTACCCTCTTGACATGGCTTGATTCATGTGGGGATGAGACACAGATACTGAATAGTTGATGAGCTGGGTAGAAAAAGAAAAGAAGTGGAGGGACTGGGTGAGGGCAGAAATAGAGAGATAGAGATAGAGAGAGAGAGAGAGAGAGACAGAGAGAGGGAGGGAGGGAGGGAGGGAGGGAGTAGAAAGGCAGCTATCCACTGGCTTCACTCCACAGCTCCAATAAGCCCTGAGGTTTTGGAGCCCTTGATGGAAAATTACCTTGTGACCAAGAGGGGAGGTCAGGACCAGCATCCTCAGACTCCACTTATCCTCAGAAGCAGCAGCAGCAGCAGCAGCAGGAGCAGCAGCAGCAGCAGGAGCAGCAGCAGAGGGAGGATGGACTGCGCGTTCGGCTGATCGGAGGGGGGAGGACCGAATTCGGGTCATGGAGAAACTAAAAGGTCCCGCCGCCAGATGCACCACGGCCACCTGTGGATGGAGAGCCCTGCTTCTCCCGCAGCTGAACAGGCAGTCGCTGTACGTGTACGGCAGCGAGATGGCCGTGGAGCAGGAGTGCAGGCGGCAGCTGCAGAGCAGAGTCTTTGTCATCCACCCGTTCAGCCTCATGAGGTATTTAATATATGATAGATTCAGGTCAGTCCTGTGGAGACACCAACTCCACTTTTAGTCTCACCGTCTCTTTCAAAGTTGTACAGTTTCTGCAAGTTTCTGCCTGTTTCTTTGCTTAGTTTTGCATCATGGATTAAGAGTATTATCTTCTTTTGTTTATTCATGTTACAGCTGTAAAGGTTAGGGGATTCATTGATTAATCAGTTGATAGAAAGATAATCTGCAACTATTATTATAATTGATTTTATTTTAAAGGGAAACATCTTTTAGTTCCAGTTTCTCCAGTTGACAGATTTGCTGTTTCTTCTTTGTCTCCTGCAGTAAACTGAATATGTGTAGGTGTTGGGATGTTATTTAGGGAAACAAGCATGTTAATGACGTCACGTTGAGACTTTTTATAAACTTTTTAAAGATGAATCAATAAAATAATCATCAGATTAGTCAGTGAGTTGCAGCCCCACTCCGTAACATGCTTGTTGCATTACTCATAATTAACAATAAGCATGTATTAATTATGGTAATGATTTGTTTTGCACTTTTCCAAACGTAAAAACAGAAAAAGAAAAAAGTTATGCAGCATAATTAGCATAAAATACAAAGAGCAAGTAAACATTAAATCAAAACAAACTGATAATCGGTAAAGGAGAATAAAAAAAGATTTCCACTCTTGAAATTCTAGTTTTGTGAAGAGATTTTTAAGATGATACCGGATATCCGCATTATTGATGCGGTATTGTTATTATTGGCTTGTAAGGTGATCCGAGGGAGTGGAAACAGAGAGCGGATCAGAGAGCAGAGTTACTTGAGGAGATGTGCAGTTACAGCATCAGAGTATTTAATGAGGGACTTTCCCGCCACAATCCGAACATGGAAAACAGGATCTCAGACTCCCTGTTTTGTTCTTGTGTGATCTTCTCCTGCAGGAGTTACTACATCATGTGCATGATGGCCATCACGTTCCTCAACCTGATCGGGATTCCCATGGAGATCGCGTTCCTGGACGGAAACAGCGGGCTGGCGTGGGAAGGATTCAACGTGTTTTCAGACACGCTGTTCCTGATAGACGTGGCTCTGAATTTCCGTATGGGCATCATAACAGAGGACAGCGAGGTGAGAGTGCCTTCGCTCTATTTTCAGACACAATCTGCAGACTATAATCCCGGCGCGCACGAGCGCGTACAATCCATCTCATCTGTAATCTACTCAATACATGAAAAGGCTAGATTAACAAAACCCCCCCCACCCTCCTCTTCAGCTCCTGGACATTGGTGAAACTGGCACCTGCTGTTTGATTTTATAACAGGGATTATAAACGAGAAGTATAACATTTCCAATTAAGTATTATGCACTTTACATCCTGTTTTGTTTTCATCTGCTCGTACTTGGCGACCTCTATCTTGCCAATCACAAATGCCACATCTGTGGTGTGGTTTATAGTGTTTAGTCTGATTCAAGCATCTGGTGGAGCTCAAGATAAGATGCTAACTTTATTATTCCCGAAGGAAACTCTTGTGCCAGAGTTTGATCAAAGATTAATAAGACAATAGCATAAAAATATAAACAAAAATGATCAATAGAGTAATAATTAGTAAGTGTAAACGAAGTAACTCTGGTGGAGAATAGAACAGAATAGCGATAAGAGTAAAGTAAATAAAATTATCTACTAATATAATTTATAAAAAGTAAATTACAACAAAAGATTAGATACAAGAGTAAAAATATAGAGTTTAAGAAGATCACCAGTGCCAAATAAAAACTAAAATAGAAAAGCATGATATTGAGAGTTGATATTGAAAAGCAGTACAAATATTATATAGCACATAGTATATTGAAAGTAATAATAAAGTGCATGATTTATTCATTCATGTGCGCTTCAGAGACGTTTCCTGGCACCAATGTCTCCCTTCATTTTGGACAAACTCCCCCAAACTATTGGTTCATGTTCATGAGTCTTTAATTATACATCTGGTTTGCCTCATCCATCCTCATCCATCCTCATCCATCCTCATCCATCCTCATCTTCATCCATCCTCATCCATCCTCATCCATCCTCATCCATCCTCATCCATCCCCATCCATCCTCATCCTCATCCATCCTCATCCATCCTCATCCATATCCATCCTCATCCATCCTCATCATCCCCATCCATCCTCATCCATCCTCATCCATCCTCATCCTCATCCATCCTCATCCATCCTCATCCATCCTCATCCATCCTCATCCATCCACATCCATCCTCATCCATCCTCATCCTCATCCATCCTCATCCATCCTCATCCATCCTCATCCATCCTCATCCTTCCTCATCCATCCTCATCCATCCTCTGCTCTGTCCTCATCCATCCTCATCCATCCTCATCCTTCCTCATCCATCCTCATCCATCCTCATCCGTCCTCATCCATCCTCTGCTCCGTCCTCATCCATCCTCATCCGTCCTCATCCATCCTCTGCTCCGTCCTCTCTCACAGGAAGCTATTCTGGATCTCAAGCGGATCCGAGTCAGTTACCTGAGGACGTGGTTCATACCGGACGTCATCGCCGCGTTCCCGATCGGCTACATTCTGCTGTTTGCGGTAATAATGAGCAGCTTGTTGAGGCAGAAAATGTGCTGCTGCAGCATTTTGTCACTTCACACAAGCAATTATGCACATTGTTCATGACTGGACATGTTTGAATTAATCTCTGTTTTTATATATATACACTTACGACCGGGTTGATTAGTTGTAATCCGGGTTCATTATGTAAAGATTTAATCATTGTTTTTCAGAAAGAAGAAAAATATTAGTTTGCTCTCAACAAAAGGGTTGCTATTTTTTCTATATTTATGTAACTGGGATTGTGGTTTTGTATCCAGTAATAAGACATTTTCACTTGTCATAATGATGCATAATGATGCTGTGTCAGCAGAAAACATGCTGCTACAGCATTTGTCAGTTCACAAAAAAAACGATGTCCAGCTCTGAACAAATCATATCAAACTTTTCTTACTAGTCGGTTCATTCATTATAATCCAGGTCGATGATACAAACATTTAATTATTGCTTTTCAGAGAGAACAAAACTAATGTTAATCCTTTGCTCTCAGCAAGAGCTTTGTTTGGTATTGTTTGCCTAAATGCATGTATTTTATGGAACTGTGATTTTGAATTTGAATTTGAATAATTCTTTAAAAAAGATACTTACAACTAGTTATACTTCAAGTCAAAGGACATTTTCAATTCATAATGAAGAAGAAGCAGAAAACAGCCAACAGCGTGCTGCATTATTTGTCAGTTCACAAACACAATCATTTGTTTTTACTTTATTTGTTCGTCATGATTTATTAATAGGAACTTATGTAACACGCAGATTCAACTTAATTGTCGCTGCTTGAGTACAAATACAACAAAATGCAGTTTAGTATCTAACCACGAGTAATATTCACATGTCTTTGGGTAATAACAGTGTGATATAAATACACTCAGACATATGAAGTAATAATATAAATCAATAAAAACATCTGTATTTTATCATCCCAGGACTTACATTACCACAACGACGACAACCCGTCCAAGACCAACAAGATGATGAGGATCCTGATGTTCGTGCGGATCCTCAGCTTGATCCGGCTGGCTCGGGTGTCCCGACTCGTCCGCTTCTTCAACGAAGTGGAGAAAGTAAGTTCACACGGTCTCCAAAAGCTTTGAAACTCAATCAGCCGCTCTCCGATAACCTGCAGACACTTTACCAGACCTGGCATCCCACGACTAATCTAATCTAACTGAGTACGCTCATAAATGTCCTTTTGTAAAACATCGACACGAGTTTTTGTAAATTCAAGAATAAAGTTGAAGGACACTTCAGACTCTCTTCGACGTTCTCCGTGGTAATCTCGTAACGAAACACGATATATCCTGGAACTAAATCTTGATGTTGCATAATGTATGTCTGTGTAACTCCACGCCTTCAATCGTCTTGCAGCTGCAGACATAAATGGTTTTAGTTGTGATGGTGGAAACTCCACTACAGATGTTTTCCATCCTGATTTATTTTTAATTTTACGTATAAATCTGTTTACTTAACTAATCCCCAAAAGGTCTCATTGAGCTCCCTGCATTTGTTGAGCCTCCTCCTCAATGTTGACTTAATCTTGGCTCGCTCGTCCGTCTCACTTTGGTGCCAGGTCATGTTTGGTCTTCCAGGTTTTACTTTTGCCTCCTTTGGAATCACATGATCCAGCCAGCGCAGTCTCCTCGTCCTTGTTTCAGTCTTGCTTTTGTTTTTTTCTGTATCATCCTCATAATATAACTATTTGATCTACTGTATGAGGTTTTTATTGTTAACAAATCGTGAGTTACTGTAACTTAGCCGGTGAGAAAACGTAATAACTTGCCTGAAGATGAAGATATTCTTATGTGTTTGATGCACCAGTGTGCACAGCGAGTGAGTGAATATCCTGCAGTACGTCTGTGTTTGATCCCCTTACAGTCACATGTTTTCATGTCATCTCTTTCCGACAGGTGTCTAATGCAAACCTGGAGGTGGTCCGCCTCTTCTTCCGCATCTTGTCTCTGTTCATGATGATTTTCCTGCTGTGTCACTGGAACGGCTGCATCCAGTACTTTGTGCCGATGCTGGAGGAGTTTCCCACCGACTGCTGGGTCCGAAAGGAAAACCTGATGGTGAGACTCATTTATCTCAAATACACAGAGTGTGAATGATGTCGTGATGTACATTTACACAGGTGTAGGGGTGTGTATATATATATATATATATATATATAAATACAAGGTACTGGGAGTTTTCTACTTCTCCTCCACTACACCTAAGAGCTAAATATTGTACTTTTCACTGTACTACACCTCAGAGTTAAATATTGTACTTTTTACTGTACTACACCTCAGAGTTAAATATTGTACTTTTTACTGTACTACACCTCAGAGTTAAATATTGTACTTTTTACTGTACTACATCTCAGAGTTAAATATTGTACTTTTTACTGTACTACATCTCAGAGTTAAATATTGTACTTTTTACTGTACTACACCTCAGAGTTAAATATTGTACTTTTTACTGTACTACACCTCAGAGTTAAATATTGTACTTATATTGAAGTGTTCCTTTATGTGTGGTATTCAGTGTGGTATTCGTACTTGTACTGAATACTTCTTCCATCACTGGCTAATGAGGTTTAGTGAATGTTGAAGATGAGTCATCAACTACTTTAGTAATCAAGGAATTGCTGAAATGGTTAAAGGGAATATTTAAACAAAAAACATGTAGTAGTACTTTAAACATCTCTACCACATGCTGTAGTTTAAATTCATGTGAGTATTTGTTGTTGTTGTGAAGCCCCAGATCTACAAAACGTTGCATTAATTATGTTTCCTTTCCTCCAGAATGCTACGGTGAGCGTGAAGTACTCCTGGGGAGTTTTCCGAGCTCTCTCCCAGATGATCGCCCTCTCGTACGGCTCCATGGACGCGCCAACAAGTGAGAATTATAGATTTTTCTTTGTCTGCCTCTAAAAACAGCACAGGTATCACATTCTCCCTCAGATATAAATACCCGCCGGTTCACACTAAACGAGCGCGAGTGTCGCTGTCTTGTTCTCCAGATTATGTGGAAATGTGGATCGTCATGGTCAGCATGGTGTCCGGCTGTCTGATGTACACCGTCCTCGTGGCCAACGCTACGACCATGATCGCCAACACCGACCCGGCCGCCAAGGAGTACAAGAGCAAGGTAAGAAGACACGTCTCAGTATGCACCAGCTACTGTACGCAGTGAAGCAGAAACACGGATTATTTTAGCATGTTTGGGAAACTTTAATGTAATCTAGGGAGAGGGAGAGCATTTCAGTCCGTTTGTTTAGTCTTTTACTAATATGTTTCTTTATTTCCCTGCATATTTATTCAAATGATCACGTCCCATTGAGTCTAAAAAATGGGGTAGGAATGGACTGGAATGGAATTTGCCACAACAATAATAAAAACTAAATATTTTTGTTGATAGGGACATAAATTACATTATTTCTTTTTATTTTATTTTTTTGTAATTTTATTTTAAAAAATGTGTTCTTATTTTTTGTATGACTTCACTGCAATATATACGATATGACCAAGTTTTTGTGTTTTGTTTTCCTTCCTATTGTTTCAGTTGATGGGTGTTGTAGGTTGTTGTTATTTTTCTATTTCGTCTATTGTGCTACAACAACATGACACTTTCACTCACAAGCGCTGTCAAATTATTTAAATTTTGTGGATGAAAAATCAATAAACACGGCATAAAAAATGATCTTAAATAATAATGACTGTTGGCATCAGGGCTTAACGTAATGAGTCAGTTATTTAGTTAAATAAGATAACATCATCAGCAATCAACAAAAGAGAACTTAGAGTGGAAGACCATAACAAACTTAAGAGAGGAAGTTTTGTAAAAGTTGGTTTTAGGCTTAACGCTTAATTTTAAGGATAAAAACGGACACATTTATTGTAAAAGGTGTTCTCTGACCACAATGCACCTGGCTTTGAATCACATCACAGATACATGATTAAACATGCTGCTGTGATGCTGTGTGTCATGTATGAATGTTGATGGGTGGTGGACCCTGAAAACATCCCTGTGACCTCCCACAGATGAGCCGTCTGGAGCACTACATGACCTTCATGAAGCTCCCGCCGGAGCTGCAGCTTCGCATCACGAACTACTACCAGGCTCGCTACGGAGGGAAGTGGTTCCAAGAGAAGGACGTCATGGACACCGTGTCCTCTGCGCTCAAAGAGGTACGGCTTGGACCTCACTCATGTTAATTTGTCTTCTTATTTATTTACGTAATCGTATATTTTGTTTGTATTTATTCTCCAGCAAATCCTGATGGTGATGTGCAGCCGGCTGCTCAGAAAAGTGCCAATGTTTCAGACCAGAGAGGAGAACTTCATCAACGCCGTCCTCTTCAAACTGGAGTACGAGGTTTTCCTGGAGGGCGACGCCATCGTCCGGCAGAACGTCCCAGGCGACCGCATGTTCTTCATCGACCACGGCCAGGTCCTCATGGAGACCGACTCCTACGACAGGGAGCTGTGTGACGGGGACTTCTTTGGGGGTGAGTTGGATTCGCGTCTGATTAGTGAGAATCTGGATTGTATCTGATTTTCCTCACAGCAAGAGTCACGTAAGAGGGGAGACGGAGACAACAGCAGGATGTGTTTTACAACTTTCCTTACAAAGTTTCTACCCAACTAACTGGAAATCTTATGTTAATGCCTCTAGAAAAATACGAACAAACCAAATCAAAGCTCAAGTCATTTAAAGGGATAGCTGATAGAATGTTTTAAAAATGGGTTATACGAAGTACTAATTCACCTGAAAGAAAGACCCCCCCTTTATAAAGTCAATATCAGTTTAAGTGTACGCTATATTTATACTCTCAAACCAGACTCCATTGACAAAAACTGTATTTTTACCTCTCACAGAACACAGGAGTTGCTGGTCTCAAACGGTTATTGTGTGACTTATATGCGTTAAATGTTTAGTTCAGATTCACCAAAGTCACACAACAACACAAACTCACTAACAGACGGAGGCAGCAGTAGAGCAGCATCTATGTGTTCTGAGGATTTTATCAAAGGAGTCAGGTGTCTTTGTGGAGATCATAGATGACAGCTTCAGTTCCCTCAGACAGGTAAAGAGGTGAAAACATTCTAAATATAGCGTTCACTTTAACTGATTTAGATTCTTTTAGGAGTCTAAAATACGTCCACAGCAGAACATCACTTTGCTCCATCTACTGTAGTAAAACACAGACTGGAGAAGAACCTCATAGAACCACACTACTAAACATCACCACTGTCCCTTTAATTTTAAAAATAACCTCTCGGTAACATCTGTTTAACCTGGAGCAAAAGCACAATAAGTACACAACAATGCTGTTCAAGTGTTACATAATGAATTCAATGAATGGAAATGTTAAAAGGTGCTTTACATTTTGAGCTTTCAGAGGGTTTGTTAAACACTTTTATGTACATTAAGCATTAGGGGACTTTTTATTAAGCAGTATCACATCAATAGGTTGTTCTTTCTAACATATATCTGGTTTATTCAGGATAATACTCTGGAGATACTGGGATTAGATCACTGGAGGTTTAAATTTAGGCTGTTGTTAAATTAATATTCATACTGGAGTGTATTAACCTCTGTATCGAGCTATGGATACTTTTAAAAGCAGTAGTTTTATTATTTGTCCAGATTTTCTTTAAAATATCCACCTCTTTTTTTCTGCCCATCCCCCAAAACAATGGAGGTGAATGGATTTGCAGCTGTGGTGGTCAAAGCAAGTAAAAGATACTGAAACATCTCTTTCTTCTATAAATACTGTCTCTGTAATCCACAAAACATAGAGAATGTTGAGGAAGGTTCTGTGAGGCAGGGCTGCTGGACGGTGTGCTGCTGTCTCTCTTTCTGCCAAACTCCATTTAAAAATCTGTCACTTCTCCTCTGGATAATCCTCAGAGCTCGCTGTGAGCAGTTCTCACTGGAAGTGCTCTCGACCACAGAACCAGTCCCGGTGCAAACAGCTGACGGCTCGCTCTGTGGATTACCTACAGTAACAGGGATCATGTTTCTCGGAAAAGATGTTGCTGTTGTCGTTTATTTGTGTGTGTGTGTGGGGGGGGGGGCTGGGTGGCTATTTCAAAATCTGGACAAATGAAATAAAAGCCATCTGCGTGGCTAGATGTCACAAGAGGAAGGCGATTGAATTTACGCAGTTTGTGAATATAAGAGAGGTAAAAAATAAAGTTTAAGCAACTTCCATGTGGACATTTAGCGAGTTAATTACTTCGAATAAGATGTATTTTAGATTTTGTGATAATATTACTACTGTGAAATGGAAGTAAGTGATCCATGGATTTAGATTGTTGGCAGGTTTAGTGTGATTTTTAAAACTGATAATAGCTCAGCATTCGTTGCTTTTTCACGTCATTCACAAGTTTATTTGCATATGTGAGCGAGAATCATTCTTCTCTCTCAAACCAAAGTAAAGAAAATCTATGTTTTCTAATTTGGGGGATTTATTTAATTCTCTGTCTTTAAGTGGGAACAGGTCCTAATCTCCGCAGCATTTAGAAGCTAAGCAGGCTTCCCAAAACAACTCATCTAAGTCCGGTTATTTAATTTGGGATTAATTGTCAGATCTCATCCCCGTCGTTAGGGTTTACTCGCTCATTAACCGCGCTCTTGTGGTTCCCTCTGTGTGTGTACAACAGAGACATGCGTGCTGACCAAAGGCAAACATCTGGCCACCGTGAAGGCGCTGACCGACTGCCAGTGCTTCTCTCTCTCCTGGAACGACCTTCAGGAGGCGCTGGAGGGCTTCCCAGATGTCAAGAAGGACTTAGAGAAGATGGTCGAGCTCGACTCTGACGGTGGACTCGTGTGAGACCAAATACAGAACTTTTGTTTTTACGAAAAAAGGACAGGAGACGCGGATATTTCCTGGACAGTAAGACTGTGGCTGATTCCTCGTGTGGACACGAGATGGACAGTTTTAATCTGACCGATAATTATTCAGTCATTATAAGTAAAATAAACAAAAGACCTCAACAGTAAAGACGGGTCAAACGTTTGACCTCTGCCTCCTTGTTGATGCTGCGATTTAACCTCGACGTTTGGAAACGTTAGTGAAGAAAAACCAGAAAGATTTGGAAAGTCTTGAGCGGACATTCTGGTTTCATACAAAGTAAGGTGGTCTGTGGTCTGAGGACTCGCTGCTCAGGTCATTTGGGCCCATGTGGTATGTGGCGCCCCAATTTGTTAAATTTGAACATGACGGACAGACCCAGTTCATTTTGTTTATGCACGACTTGCAATAATTACAAATCCATCTGCTGCTTCAGAACCACGGACAGCGTTTTTTAGTTAACCCAGGAGGCAACCAACGGTTCTGCCGAGTGAAGTCAAAGCTTCATGTGTTAAACCTGCATTCTCTCTAGTGTCCACCAGGGGGCGACTCCTCTGGTTGTATAGAAGTCTATGAGAAAATGACTCTACTTCTCTCTTGATTTATTACCTCAGTAAACATTGTACACATGAGTTTATGGTCTCAATCTCTAGTTTCAAGTCTTCTTCAATACAGCATGATGTTCATTTAGTAACAAAAAAAAAAGCTAGGCAATTTCTGGGGGAAGCGTTGCCGCCGTCCTTTCGGCACCAATCCAAACCAGTTGATGGGCTTCAGCGATAGATTCACGATCAAATCTGGCAAGAAAACACATAAATGATCTGAATCTGATAACTTCCCTCCTCTCTTTTTGAAAACAAAGCGGGTGGCATGCTTCCTCCAAATTCACTTGCGTGGATTTGATGTTCGCTATAACATCCATCCACAAGGCGCTTTGTTGGATGCAACCGTGGAACTTGTTGGCTAACACTCTCTACTGTGTGAGGCTGTACTCACTAAAATCATTAGGATTCATCGTCTTTGTTGAGATGCTTTAAGTCTGGATTACGGAGGCTTAGATAAGACCCAAATTGTAATAAACTGAGATTTCCCTTTAAAAGAAGGCTTACAAAACACATGTACGTCCTTTTTTTCTAAAATGACATTTATTCGGAAGTAATATTACACAAGACATGTTAATACCACTGTGAAAGCAAACAGAAAATAAAGCCGACGCTATGATGTGATTATGAAACATCTGTGAGGACAGCCTTTACTCTCATCTCTCATCCAAACACGCACACGGTGCCCGAGGCCAGCCGGTGTTTGTACTCGTAGAGGTAGAAGGAGGCCGGGGGGAAGTTGCACTTCATCTCCATCCTGCCCGGCACCACGTGGACCGCCACGCCGGACCCCAGGCCCTCCTGCAGCTTGCTCAGCATGCGCGAGGCCAGGTAGCGCCGCGCTCTGCCCGGGTCTTCCTCGATGGACGTGTACACCTCCGGCGGCGGGTTGGGGATCTTCCACTCCAGGTCCACGATGAGCTGGTGGATGCGGCTCTTGTCCAGCGACGTCGGGGTGTCGCGGTAGCACGCCACCACGTGGGGGACGGGCGCTTCGGACGCCACAGAAATCAAATTGTTGAGCTGCTGCTGTTGTTGTGGCGGCGGCGAGACTTCCTTTGCTTCCTCCGGCTCCTCGTCCTTCTCGTCCTCCATTGGTCCCACGGCGGGGTGGAGCATCACCGCCCAGCGCAGCCAATCGTAGTTCTTCTCCAGGGTCTTCAGGATGCTCGTCGCTGCCTCCTCTGGGGGCGCGCGGTTCTGCACGGCCTCTTGGAGCTGCTGCCGCACGTCACCCTCCGCTTGCTCCAGGAAGTAGCCAAAGCAGCGGCCTCCCTGGTTCTTCATCTTCCTGTAGAGGGCGCCCATGCGGTCGGACCAGGTCTTCATCAGCAGGGCCTGGTCTCTGCCCGTCAGAGACGCCTGCGTGAAGAGGCACAGCAGACCGGTGCCCAGGACGAAGTTAATCTGTCGAGAGTAATGGGAGGAAAAAGATAAAAGCCTTCAAATAGTGGTCAGAAATAGCTCATGACATGTGTTTCACCCTGCAGGAAGAACCAGATGGTTCGTTTTGCCACAAGAATGCTGTTAAAGTTAAAGCTGGGCTTTGCAGATTTTCAGTTTGCCCAAAGAAGTAATTTTAAGTAAATGTTCTAAATACTCATAAATAACTTTTTGACCTCAGGAACTAAAAGTCCCGTTAACACATTGCTATGTGCTTTTCGACAACATCTGAGGAACCACAGAAATTGTGCAAAAACACATTAGTCAGTAAACATTGTAAACATGAGTTTATGGTCTCAATCTCTAGTTTCAAGTCTTCTTCAATACAGCATGATGTTCATTTAGTACATTATGGTCCATTTAGAGTCAAACAGACCATAAAGCAGGGGATGCTTTAGGGCGGGGCTACACAGTGATTGACAGGCCTCCACCAGAGACGTATACGGCGTCTCTACGTCACTCCTCCTCAGTCCTAATAAGGTCACTTCCTGTTCACTGGTTGCAAAAAAAACAAGATGGCGACGGCCAAAGTCCAAGATGGGGATGAACGACTTCTTATTTACAATCTATGAACACAACACAGACGTCTTTGACATATTGTCAACACCCTGAGTTCTTCACATTCTGTCGATAATTCATTTTCTGAGTGTTTTAAACAAATATTCTGATCTGATCTTCCACATTGCCCGTAAGAACACAATATATTTGCGTATTTTTACCCACATGAGCTGTTAGTTTAGAAAGTTCTGCGTTCAGGTTTTCTTCATGTTTGCAGTGAAGTGAGCTGGATTCAACACCGGATCTTTTGCATCTAACAGAGGTAGTTTACATGAAACTCATAGCACCGCTTTACGGTTGTTGTTTATAACACTGTGTTGTCTTCAGCAGAGCACCGAACCATCTGGGATCTTTTGTCGAGCAGAGGCTGGTTATGACTGTTTTGGCTCTTTCTCTTAATGAAGTGAGCCCTGTGAGGTCCAGGGTCTGCAGAGCTTTTGGTGACGTTACAGAGGATTTCAGATATGCACAGTGGTTTTATTTCTCATCATATCATTCGTGGGTTTTGTCTGATCTTCCTGTGTTCTTGTCGCAGCATTAACTTATCACCCCCAACGTGTTGACACATGATAAGTTCTTCAAGGTTAAAGAAACACGGCTGCGGTTCCTTTGCTTAACAAGGTCGGGTTCTCCGGTCTGGAGTCCACAGCGGTGACTTTGATCACTAGATTCCCCTCAGAGTGAAAAACACACTGTGGATTTCTCGGCCCATCACGCAGAATGAAGCTCGGCTGGTTATTATCGAGTTGTTCACTATGACTCAGTGCAGTTATGCAGCCGAGTCCTCGAAAATAGAACGACTCAAACTAATCACTCGTTCAGCACCAGTTTGAAGCGGAAATTGCTTCAGCACTGAGGCGGTTCATGAGAGTTTTTAGGAGGAAAACCATGTCTGTCTTTAGAACAGCAGCTGTGCTGAACGACTTTGTTTCTTTAAATGTCCCCTAAAACGATGGCACATATAGAGTTTGATAAATCAACCAAATCAACAACGTTAGATGTTCTTATGTGAAATAATATTGATAAATAGCTGCTATTTGTTACTCTGAGTAGCCGACAACAGAATATTAGACAACATGCCCCTGCTCCGTGTTACTTTGTGGTCATTTTGAGTTTCGTTTTAGCCATTTTGTGTCTTGTTGTAGTGAATTTGTGTCTCTGTGGCCATTTTGTGTCTCTTTGTAGTTATTTTCTGTCTCTCTGTGGTCAATTTTCATCTTTGTGGTCGTTTTGAGTTTCTTTTTAGCCATTTTCTGTCTTTTGTATTCAATTTGTGTTCTTTTGTGGCCATTTTGAGTCTCTTTGAGGACACATTGTGTCTCTTTGAGGACATTTTGTGTCTCTTTGTAGTCAGTTTGTGTCTCTCTAGTTGTAGATGTATAGTTGATGGCATATATAGAGTTTAATAAATGCAGGATAAAACCAGGTCAGGCTTATTATTAAAAGCCGGTGACTTCTGCAGTATCTATTAAGGTCTATTTATTCGCATGCGTGTCTTGCTCAAGGGCACTAGGGCAGATGGACTCATGGAAATTGACCATCCAGCCACTTGGGGTTATTTTGGTCAATTTAACAGAAGAAATGAAGGAAAGCTCCATTTGACCGTATGTAAATAAAGGACATATGTGCACTGAAACGTGTCACACTTTAATCACAGTTATGTAACGTTGTTGCTTTAAAATTCCTGTTTTAAATTGAAGTTTAAAAGCCGAGCAGCTCCTTTTACTGGATAATAAAGTGTGTTCCCGTACCAGGAGGCGAAAGGGAATTTGCCAACTCAGCACACAGAGAAAGACAACAGAAGGTCACAGCTCTGCTAGATTAAATATTCAGTTTATTTTCATACCAAGAAGATGGATGCAGCATGCCCCCCCCCCCCCCCCTCTTTGTGGTCTGAGAGCTGAATATTTAATCCTGTACAGCTTCCTCGATGCTTTTATGTTTCTTATAAACTTGTCCTCAGGGAAGATTTACTTTATTTGCATTAAATTTGATGAAATGATGTCTGACGTAGCTTCTTAATACTTCTTAATGTATTTTTAGAATGAACTGTATATTGATCAGTGGGATGTGCAGTTGAAAAGAAGTTTGTCCGAATGTCCTTCTACTTTCTGTGTGTGTGTGTGTGTGTGTGTGTGTGTGTGTGTGTGTGCGCGCGCGCGCGCACAAGTGTGCGCGTGTGCGTCAGATTGCTGCGTCATCTCAGGCTTCCTGCAGGAGTGTGTGTCCTTGTATAATGAGTTGTGAAATGGAACTTTTAATGACCCCCTGCAGGGAGACGAGTTGAACACAGAGACCCCCCACCCACACACACACACACACACAGAGGATCCCCCCCTCCACCTTTCTCACCGACCTTGACGCAGAACTCCCTCAGCTCCCAGCGTTTGGGCTTGCGGCTCAGGATGAGCTCCTCCAGCAGCGTGGGCTGGTCGGTGAGCGCCGACACGCCCATCAGGCGGCTGTAGAGCGCCGTCAGCTGCCTCTCCAGCCGGTAGTCCTGCACGTACTGCAGGAACACCTCCGTCTCCTTCTTGGTGAAGTCTGACTGGGCCCTCACCTGGAACAAGCCGGGGGGAGAGAGGCTCAATGGGGGGTCTAAGCTTTTAAATGGGGCTTTATTAATAGTTACAGTGTAATAAACAAATGTCAAATCAACAATTTTTGATATTTTTGTATGGAATAATATGAATAAGTAACTGTAACTACAAATATGTCTCGTTGTTGTCAATTTTTATCTTTGTGGTTGTATTGTGTCTATTTTGTGTTGTTTTGTGTCTCTTTGAGGTCATGTTGTGACTCTTTATTGTTCTTTATTGTTCTTTTGTGTCTTTGTGGTCCTTTTGTTTATCTTTCAGTCGTGTTGTGACTATCTGTCATAGTTTTGTTGTGACTATTTGTAGTTGTGTTGTGTCTCTGGTCTATTTACTGAGTAGAGTCTTGTTTTCTTTCATATTCTCACTCCAGAAGTGACGTACACAGACACTGGCACTGATTATTCGTCACTTAAACACATCTACACTAAACAGCAGTGAGCTCAGTTCACTTAAGTTGATGATAGGGAAAACTTAAGCGATGAACTGATATTTGTACATTTTGACATAATTAAATAGAGGAAATAAAAAGCATAAGCCTGTTAATACTGACCGGTAGAACTAAACAGATGCTCCAGTCACACATCCGGCCACATATCCACATTTACATAATACGCTTAGGATGATGGGTTCAGTCACGCATTAGTTCAGGAAATTGGCAGAACGCTTGTTCCTCCTCAAGGTCAGCTCCACCTTAAGAGCCCTGGACCGTGTTTAAAAAACTACTCGTTAGATTTAAAGGAGCTGCATGTGTTCTCTCTCCATCTAGCAGCAGAACACTCTTTAGTTTTTATTCTACCAAATCCTTCTCCCTTTGTTTCGTATCCAACTTCCTGTAAAAGGAAAATAGGCAATCTCAAGAAGTACACATGGTATTGTACACCTGCATATTATTTTATAAATTTGGCAGCACTGGGCTCCACACTCCCTTACTAAGCTGATATTAGACTACCCTCCAAAATAAAAGTAGCTGCCTCTACTAAGCATCCCTGAATGGGGCCGTTTCCTCACCGCTGTGCCCAGCTGGTAGTACACCACGGCCAGGTCGTCCTCCAGCCGGTGCACCTCCTGGTCGTCCAGCAGGCCGTGACCCGACGCTCCCAGCTCCTGATCGATGTGGTCCAGGTTCTTCTTGGCCAACTCGCTCTCCTCTGCTGTGGCGCCGCCGCCCAGATAGGAGCAGATGCCCTGGACCAGGACCCTGAAAAAACATCGCATACAAATGTGACAATTTCTGCATATGGAAAAGTATAATGTTTTATTTTTAGGAGTTTAAACTCACCTCACAGTCTGCATGTAGCCCACTGGCTCCAAAACCTTTCCAAACATCGCCATGGCTCCAGAACTAATAAGAAAAAACATGAAAATATGAATAAATAAGAAAACAGTCAACGCCACATTTTTGATGACCGGTGTAAAAACGTTTTGCTGTTATTTAGAAATGACTGAATTTGTTCTAAATCTACCTGATCAAACTTGAGCTCTTTTTTTTAAACTCACCTTGTTTGTTCCGTGTGCACGTTAGCACCGACCTTCACTGTGTGTCCAGTATTTATACACTCACCTGAAGAACCAGGTAGTCTGATAAGAGTTCTCCTTGAGAGGAGGAAGTAGAATCAGTGGTGGGGAATAGTGAAGTGTATTTAAACTAGTAGTATATTTTGCTGCAGCATGTTTGCATCGTGTTTCAAGTAGTGAAAAGACTTTTCTGACTGTTTTAACAATAGAAATGTGTCAATGCGGTATTTCAGTTCATTTTTCATTTTTATATTTAACGTTTAATTATGGTGTATTAAGGGAAGGGCACTCAGAGAGCACTGGCCTGCAATGCCCAATATTAAAATGCTGTTATTTACTTTTARTAGTTTTTGTGTCTCTTTGTGGTGTTTCTTTATTTACTTTTAGTAGTTTTTGTGTCTCTTTGTGGTGTTTCTTTATTTACTTTTAGTAGTTTTTGTGTCTCTTTGTGGGTAAGCAAGTTACATGTTAAAGTAGCTTGCTGGTACTGGTTATTCATTGTACTTTATATTCAAATTATTATCATTATTTGGATGTTGTGTTCTTGTGTATGAAATAAATTTAGATTCAGATTCAAGTAGTTTTTGATCCACTAATTTCATAATCTGTTGTTGTTGATTGAACTGTTGATTTTTGCTCCTCACTCTGAACTCTTTCACTTGTATTTGACTTTCCTGTAGTTGTGTCGTGGTGCTGTGTGTGCCAGGTTTTGTGTTACTGGAAGGTCCAAACTAATCTGGACCTGGACTGAAGTCATCAGACCTGACCTCTGTTGTTTACTGAAAAACCGTTCCATCTTCTGGGCGCAGGGCCTCATTATTTACTGTTAATTCACAAGAGACCCAGCAGATAAAGTCATTAAAATTAACTCCACTTTACCAGCTGTAATATAAAAGTAATAAACACATTAATGAATCAATTATTGTGATACAATAATATGATAGACATTATTCTGAAATGGCCCATTCTGCATAATTGGTATTTTTTCCTTTGGTCAATTTTTGTATTTTAACTTAAGAACCATTTTAAATTAGACGTAACAGAGTATTTCTACACTGTGGTGTTGTTACTTTTATTACTAACTTACTACCAAGTACAAGATCTGAGTACTGCTTCCTCCACAGCAAACACTCAACTATATTACACAGAAGTTTGAATAATGTTGGATGTCACAATGCACGTCTATGTCTCCTCAAAGTATAGAAGAAGAATATAATCATAAACAAGTCATTTGCACTCCTGATTCATAAAAATAAAAATAATCCTAACTACCATGTATATATATCGTTGTAAACTTTAAAAAGGGGCTTTTACAAATTTAAACTTTTGTTATACCTGCTATTTATTTGAGGACTATCTTTGTTTTTATTGTATTTTTTATCTTTAATTATTTATATGCTTTCCTTTTTGTGTGTGTGTGTGTGTGTGTGTGTGTGTGTGTGTGTGTCCATCTGTAAAAAACACTTGACCGTTTTGCATGTCTGTGAACAAATACCGGAATAAAAATAAAAAAGTGATAGGAGGCGCTAATGAGACTATTTGGACATTGAGCGCCTAAAACCCACGAAGAAGAAGAAGCTGACGAAGCTTCCGGTTGAAGCCGGGGAAAACAAAGGCGGTAAAAACGAACCGTTTTTTCTGCCCAGAGGAGAGAAGGTAAACAAACGGAGTAATTGTAGGATTTTTTAAAACATTTTTTAATAATGGACCCGACGGCCCGGTTCTTTACCGCGCTCAGAAAGCTGGCGGTGACTCTAGAGTCCGAAACTGTGAAGCTCCAGCAAGTGTTTGAAAACCGGAACGACGACGACAGCGGTGAGTAGAGGTGTGAGTGACGGTTAACATGTTGTTGTTTAGATCATTTAACTAGTTTTAACATTCATCTTTTATTTACAGACTCTACAGCGAAAGCCATTCGAGCGTATCACGAAGTGAACTGTGACGTCAGGGAGCTGAAGGTACGGAAGCCGATGAAAACTGGACACCAGACTCCGTTCATTTATCTCACATTTTAAGAGAATGTCGTTTAAACGGCATAATGAGACGTGTTGTGTTTCATATTTTCATACCATTCACTTTAATCAAATACACAAACTGCTTCGGCGTTCAGTGTGTTAAAGTTACTGAAGTTATTTGGTGTCTTTTTTAAATAAATTACCGTTTGATGACGTGACGTCATCACGACAGTTGGTGGAAACTAACCGACAGAAAGCTGTGAGACTTTACATGGAGTTTTGTGTGAGTGTTAACACAGCTATACAACCAACATTAATATAACATTAATATGGTTTAAACCTTTTAGTTAACGCATGTGTGACATCACTTTGTGGATTTGTGAATTATTGTGATATTTTATGGAAAATATATATTTTTGATTTATGGGGAAATAAATAATAATTTAATTTTATATATTAATATTAAATATATAGATATAATAATTTATCTTTTTAAGCAAAAAAGTATTAGGAAAATGCTATCGGTAGCATTTTCTTCACAATGTTTGTAAAGAATGATTAATAAATCCTCCATCATAAAAGTAGTTTAAATGTATTATTTAGTTTTTAACAATATCTTTAAAATATTACATATTTTAATCACACACGCACCACAAATCTGTGGGCCTATTAATAATAATAACACATTTTATTTGTATAGCGCTTTAAAAGGTACTCAAAGATGCTTTACATGTTAAAAACAGAAACAATAGAAGTGATTATAATATAAAGTAAAAATAGATGACATAACAGTAAGGAACAGCACAAAACAAACATACATAAGTAACTTCACAGGTTAAAAGTAGATTTAAAAGAAGAGTAGTGATGGACTCTGGTGGTTTTCTTTGCCTCACACAGGGGCAGATCCAGGGGCAGATTGCTCCGCAGAGAGCACAGGAGAACGAGGTGAGCAGCTTCATTAAGGCCTGTCGAGTGATGGAGCAGAAGGTCTCCACGGACATCCGGACGCTGAAGGGACACTGGGAAAAATACGGTTATCAAGACCACCAGAGACCAACCAGTGAGTATTTACTGACAAGACCACCAGAGACCAACCAGTGAGTATTTACTGACAAGACCACCAGAGACCAACCAGTGAGTATTTACTGACAAGACCACCAGAGACCAACCAGTGAGTATTTACTGACTAGACCACCAGAGGTCTTGTCACAATCATTGTGACTTTTTTCCCTCCACAGAAGCCAAAGATGAGGCGTTGGAGGCTGAAGATGAAGCAGCAGAGGAGAATGAAGCTAACTCATCAACGGGAGGAGGAGGAAGCCAGGAGGAAGATGGTGGAAGTTGCTCCTCATCATCACCACCGCCGCCGCTCTTCACCGACGTGCTGCGGACCCCTCAGCTCTCTGATTTCGGCCTCTCCGAGGTGGAGATGAAGAGGGCTCTGGCCAGTTTGTGCTCTGAGGTTCCCCCGATGCCCGAGTTGAGCCTCCCTCACCCGTCGCTCAACACCCCCGGACCACCGCCACACATGGCCTTGACCCCCAAACGGGCCCTGCGGATGGACGACGATGAGCTGCTGACGCCTCAGATGCCTGACTTTGGCCTTTCAGAGCACACCATGTGTCTGAACAACGACTTCACGATGGATCTTTTCCGGAAGAATGTTGAAAAGCCCCAAAGGTAGAGCGTTCTGAGCAGTGCATGATATAACATGTGACCTAATGGCAGTGTGCAGTGCTGCTAAAGACCCGTCTGTTATTTCTGCTTCATGAGCGTCCGTTGCTTTACAGACCAGCTCTAGAGATGCCGAGACCACCAGTGAACGTCCTCATGGAGGGTTTGCACTCAAAAGGTATGAAACTCTGGAGCTTCCTCCTCTTCTTCACTGGTGTTTTGTTTACGCCTCAACTTCCATCAGACAATACTTTTTTCTTTCACGTTTTAAAACACAAGAACTTTGCCTATTTTAATGAGAAACTTCTTGTTGATGTAAATGAAGTAAACAGGATTAAATATGTGTTTTATATATCAGGTTTCATCACTAATCACAGTAATCTTTTCCCCACATTTAGACAATAATCTACTTTTCTGTTGCTTTTAATTATGCTGAACTAGGAATGTAAGTGTTTTCTTCTAAAATTGCTCTCAATCATAAATCATTGTGTTAAATTGTTCACGATAGTACTTCTAGTGGGAATAAAACATGGAATTGTACCTCTACAATACTGGGTAAGAACTTATTTTAAAGAAACTTTGGTTTAAAGTTATGAGTGAATATTAGATGAAGGTGTTTTTCTGTCTCTTTTTACATCACATTGTTCTTTATTGCCTCCAGAACCGGACTTGGTGTCTCCAGAGCCGCCTGTGTTTTACACTCCGGGGTTTAAAATCAGAAAGACAAACGGCCGCTGCTCCCAACCGGCACAAGGCGACGGTGACCTAGAATCCCCCCCCGGTCAACCTGGAAACCTGCCCTCCACCCCCGAGGTCCCCGTGTTTCAGACCCCGTACTTGAACCGCATGGCCACCTCCAGAAAGGTGCACAAGTTTAAATATTCATAATACGTTTCTTTAATTTGCTCATCCAGAATCGCTGAACTTCAGAGTTTTTAACGCGTTTGTGTTCACAGAGCGCTCGTAAGGCTGAGCCGATCAACATGCGAGCTGACGACGACGAGGCCGACACCTCCGACCCTCCGTCACCTCGCAGCAGAGCGACCGGCTCCAAGCGGCTCTGGGAATACGATGTTCCAGATGTGACCATCACGGGCATGGAGGACAAGCAGATGCCGGAGATGCCGAACCTGGAGTCTGTTTTGGGAAATTCTTTACAAACCGTAAGACAGAAGCACTTTTTCCTCCCAGATTAGAGAAACTCAACCTGTGGTCCGCGGGCCAGATAGGGTACCGGGTGGTTCGCCGACCATTTTGTAATTCACAATGAAGATAGATCGATTGATAATGTGACTCCCCGACAGAGATCCGGGGTCATCCCCGCACGTCTTTAATGTGGGAGGGGCTACACGCCTTGGTGCACATTTTAATTACACGATAGAACGTCATGATGATGTCGTGGTGTTAGCTGGAGGCTAAACAAAGGGAAAACAACAATCACCTCAGAGTAGACGGCTCCAGCGAGCTACACCTTTAAGAGATGTTGCTAATAGTTTAGCTTAGCCTTCTGCTAACCTCCTCAGCCAGATGCTAAAGGTTTAAACTAGACGGCCGGCTGTAGTAAGAGCAGTACATAATGAGAGAAACGCATGTTTTCTTTAGCCATTTTCTAAATAATAAAACTTGCCAGCGGTAAGTAACGAGTTTAGAGAATTGGTCTGCCTCAACTTAAGCTCCGCCCACAAACAGGAAAAGGGTTCTTTAGCTAATAAGTAAAATAAACATTAAGTCTGAGTCTACTCAGTTACAGCCCAAATATTCACTTTAAATGTAGTTTACAGATACAATATTTAATTTGAATGATGCTGTTGTTGATTTGTTTTCATTGTATATTGAATAGAAGGTTGTTACTCCAGTGAAAAGGTTCCTCAAATCACATTTCACTCACGATACAATGGTGAATGTGTACATGGTCTATACAGACCATCGTGATTCACTATATGAAGGGAAATATAGCCCAAAAATGGCAAAATGATCTTTCAAAGACACTGAAATAAATAATTTAAAGAATGTTCACAAAAGGCTTGTAAACAACAGATATAACAATCTAACAACAATAAATGGCAAATATTTCCAATTTAATATCAATGCAAACTGTCATTTTTACCAAAAGCCTCTTTTGTTTAATGTTTACCTGTCTCGTGTTAAACCTCCAGAGAAGTGCTAAGATGCAGAAGAAGACGTCGGGGCATAAAAAGGTGACCACGGAGTCGACTGTCACCAGTCTGGAGCTGGACGGACCCACTCAGGAGTTCAGCTTCGGGACGCCTCGCCTCAGGACGGACGACCAGGAGCCAAGCACCGCGGAGATGTCCGTCGGCAGCTCTGTCACACAGGACATCTGTAAAGTGAGCCCCGGTCACTCTCAGCTGCTACTCTACGTTCTTCAGATAGAGATCCACGTCCCAGCCTTTGGTTTTATCTCATGACTTCATGGCTCAAAACAAAAACAACTTGGAGAGACTTTAAGTTAGTTTGACACATCAAATTCCCTGTTCTCATGATTTCTCTTTTTCTTTTGAAGCTTCTGACCCAGCCTCAGTTGAAGAGGACGGCCATGGCGGTTGTGCACCCAAATGTCCGGCCAGGAAATAATAAAATCAGGTAAAGAAACACTTCCCTCTCACCAGGGATTGATCCACTTGGAAGAGTAGAAGAAACACATTAAAAGTAGTATAATTTGTGTATGTTGATGTATTTGGTGGATTTAGAGGTGGTTAGTTCTCTTTTTCTACTCATAATGTTTATTTCCTTCCATCTTGTTGCTTTATTTCTGCCGTCCTCGTATCATTCCCTTTGTGTTGTGTGTCTCTTGTCAGAGCTGTGAGGTTGTCTGAGGTGTCAGAGAGAGAGTTCCAGAGTTTACCGAAGTACCTGAAGCAGATGACTCTGCACAACCTCAACCAGGCGGTCCACAACATCAACACGTTCACCGAGGAGAGTCGAGGTCGGTGCTGCACAACACTTATGATCACAGTTAAAACGTTACGGTTATTGTTTAAATATCTGGTCTAAGTGTTTAGAAAGTGAGAGGATTCATGAAAATACATTACTTCTGTTTTTATATCCATCTCAACACTAATATCTATTAATGTGTCATTGGCTGCATCAGAAACCGATTTGGGTTTTCTATCAATATTACAGTTATCTACTCGTATGCTTCATGACTTTTTTCTACATTTATTCAGCAACAAAGCAATTCAAAGCGCTTCACATAAAACGGTAAAAGACAAATTACAAAGTCAGGAGTCAAGTAAATCTGTACCGTCAACAGTATACTGCTGATTAATCATGTTAAAGAGTACAAATACAACAACACAGGACCTGTTGGGAGCAACTTATTGGCCTCTGCAGCTTGTTGATGCCTCTGAACCGGTTGCTCTGCGTTGCCCTCTGCAGGAGAACAGACGGAGTTTCGGATGGAGGAGCTGAGGAGGATTTGCTCTGCTGGAACCAAGACCCCCGTCTACGTCCTGTGTCTGACGGAGCTGAGGAGGCTGGAGGACACGGGAGGAGCCAGGAACACCTCCGTGTACAGACTGTGCACGCTCCGCTAAAGGAGGAGCAGGAACACCTCCGTGTACAGACTGTGCACGCTCCACTAAAGGAGGAGCAGGAACACCTCCCTGTACAGACTGTGCACGCTCCACTAAAGGAGGAGCAGGAACACCTCCCTGTACAGACTGTGCACGCTCCGCTAAAGGAGGAGCAGGAACACCTCCGTGTACAGACTGTGCACGCTCTGCTAAAGGAGGAGCAGGAACACCTCCCTGTACAGACTGTCTAATCAATGTTAATTATCATTTTTATGTCTAGATTGTAAATAGTTTTGATGCATGGTGAGTCAATTGTACTGGATATATATATATCTCCTCTGTATATGTTAATAAACACATATTATGGAAATGAGCTCTCTAAGGCAGTGTATTAGAAAGATATTTGAATAAAGTTTAACTGTGTGTAAAAGACGAACATGGCATTCATATTTAAGGAAACATCTTTGATTTACGATATGTCAAACCCTCCTTTGTGTCCCAGTTTTCCCATTGACCAGTGGTGACCAAAACATCTGTCACATACATGTGTAAACATGCACACAAGACTTTGAAGCAGCCGATAATTCAGTCCTGACTGTTGGATTGTTTTGTCGACCTTTAAACTCCAGAACAGCTTCTGATTTTGGATCTCGTGGTGAGACTTGAAAGTGAAGGACTTCAAAGTCTCTCAATTGCAGCTGGTGTCCGCATACTTTTGGCCACATGGTGTGTTGTGTGTTGTAAAAGCAGCAATAACACACTGTAGAAATACTAAAGGTCCTGCATTCAATACATTACTGAAGAGAGTATAGAAGACGCATCAAAGCAAACTATAAAGTAATAAAGTTAAAGGACTCTTTTGGACGGAATGGCCCATTCCAGAATAAGAATAATAGAGACTTATTATGACTTATTTGTGGTACTTGTACTTTAATGAAGTAGTCCACAGTACTTTTAAAAAGTACATTTAAAAATCTGAACTTCACCACAAATACAGGTAAGTTTTTGTACTGCGGAGCTTCATATAATGACCAATAATATAGTTTGATTCTGTATTGCTCGCTCATTTTATACAGTAACATCTATATACAGACATTTATAGAACAATAGTGAATGTAGTTTTCAGCCAGTTCTACTGTGTTTCTAGATGAGAAAACCTCGATGTACCGGAGGAAACTACTCAACACGACTACAAAGTTGAACATTTCACATTATAGTAGTTTATTGGCCTGCTCGCATATTAAAAAGAAGTATTTCTTTACTTACTACTCTTACGTTTAAATTAATTAAATACTTTTAAAGTCTAATACAATGCCCACTTCAAGTATATATTGATATGTGTAAATATATAAATAAGTTAAGAGGAGGAAGATATTGGTTTCTGTTCAACAGCCCTCTTAAATAACTATTAAGTTGTAACAAACAGAACAGGTAGAATATAAATATAAAATATGTATATTTATATTGATCATAGTTCAAACATGGTGCATTGTTTAAAGAGTTATCCATTTTCTTTTGAATAATGATCACTTTAACATCTTATGTTTATACATCAAATAAATAATATTAATTTATAGTGTATAAATTGTGACATGTATAGAGTAATTTACAAGAAATACGTTCAATATATATTTTATTTAATAAACCTCACCATAGTTTCACTAATCCAGTTGTAAATATATAATATATATTATATTTAAATAAAATATTTAACAATAACATTTAAATATACATGTATACATTTGACGTTTTTTGTGAATCCCCTGATATTTATTTTCGCCGTTAGCGTCGTCGCAGCACCGCGTGAGTACAGATCTAAATACGGACCAATCAGATCGACGAATGCAAAACGACCGTTGATGACGACACTAGAGCTTTTTTTTTCTCTCCCCCCCTTGCCTCTGGCCGCGGCCGCCATTTTGGGAGTCAAAAAACAGCCAACAAGCAGCAGCGCGCACACCTCCACGCTCCGCTGCGCTCGTGGCCTTTTTTTTTTTACTATGGTGCACACGTGCGTGGTGGCGGGCTGCAGGAACAGACGGACACCGGGCACTTCTTTATCGTTCTACCGGTTCCCCCGGGACCCCGAGAGGAAGCAGCGCTGGATAGCCGCCGTTAACCGGGAGGGCTGGGTACCGAACGACGGCAGTCGGCTGTGTAGCACTCACTTCATCTCAGGTACGGAGACGGAAATAACGGAAATACAAAAAGTGTTTGTTTGGAAATATTTACTGAGAGATTTTTTATTTATTTTTTTTAATTTATTTTTAATTTTTTATTAATATTTGTAATTTTTTTATTTTATTCTATTTTATTTTATTTTACTATTACTTTTCAAGTTAAACAACATATCCCTTTACATTATCAGAGATAACAAAAATATTAATACATTTATCAAATTAAAAGGCACCATCTATGCTAAAATCCTCCTTAAAGATTGGGGTAATAACAGGGTAATAACAGGTTTACACCCCATAGTTCACCTAAGGGACTTGTTTTTGTTGCTGCTGTTTACATTCCTCCTGAAATGTACAGGAATGTTTCACAGTTTTGTTTTGATTGTCACATGTTTGTTGCATAATGACAGTAAATGACCCTTGAGCAGATGGATTATCCTAATCTAAAGCATATCTGCAGGGAATAAAATGAGCACCTGCCAAATAAAGGTAAGGCGACTCCGGCAGGTAAACATTTCAAGTCACCTGCAAACAGTTTTTCCTTTTTTTCCATGTTAAAATGTCAATCTTTAGTATTTTATTTAAATAATTGTGTGTTCAGTCACTTTATCAATGAAGGTGGTAAAACTAAAACATTTCACAGTAACTGCGTGAGCAGCGCTGCTCTTTGTGAGTTTTGCCATCAGGCTTGTTTGCATAGAAAGATTAAACCTCATTTATATTCAGTAAGTGCAAATATCACAGTTTGTTGCTGCTTTGGGAAATGACACGGTTTATTTGTGTCTTATTTGTGCAGGCTGCAGAAGCTTTCTCCATTCAATACAAACAAAAAATATGCACACAATTCTGAAAAAGAAATCCTCCTAAATCCTGCGTACTGGCTCTTTAAATTCTGTGGCGTAATCACAATAAGCGTTACAATGCAATTATCTTCTAAACTATCAAGTTATATGAATTATCAATTCATTTCTCAAATAAATCAGTTCCAATGATGTGCAATAGAAAACCAAAAGTATTATGAAGCTTAATTTATGATCAAATCTAAACTTGATTTATTGCAAAAGAAACCGAGCGATGGGACAATAACATGATGTTTCCTCTCTCATTTATATTTGTTTCATGATTGTCTGATCTGGTGTTCGCTGTTGTTGATTTAAAGTTATTGTTCAAAGAGAAACTTTATGCTCTAATTCATAACAGGAAGACTTGTCTTATCTGTAACACAGACAGTTTTCTTGAACTCATTAATTAAGAATAAGATAAGTTGGATAAGGTTACTGTTCATATTTTGTTTGTGCAAATTCATGCATATCTGTATAATAACTGACCATCAAAGAAACAACAAACCTCTAAATCCTAAACATCCTTCAGATTGTTCTTCTTTTTGTCCACGTTCAGGTAAACAGGTGAAGAATCCTCGTTCTCCAGATTATGTCCCGTCTGTGTTCACGTCCGCTCCCTCGTCCCCGGAGATGAAGGAGCCGGATACTCCGGAGATCCTGGACAAGCAAGAAGCTCGCGTGGAGGCGGCCAAGGCCTTGCTGTTCCTGCAGGGCCAGGGCCGGTCGGCGGTGGGGGGGCGTCCCGAGGAGAGGGAGCCGGGGGCCCCTGTGGAGGACAGCGCCTCCTCTTCACTCAGCAGCGACGAAGACGACGACGACGACTACAACGAAGCTATGAGCGACAGCAAGAAAGGAAAGTTTGCTCATACGTCTGACGCGGCGGTGAACTTTGACGACGTCCTCAGGGCCCTGAAGAAGGAGAACCAGACCCTCAGGGAGTCCGTGGACAAAATGTCCCTCTCCGAGAACTCCTTGAGGAACGACGCGGAGAAGGTAAAGTTCTACACCGGCTTGCCAAACTTCTTCGTCCTGGAGACGGTCATGTGGCTGCTGGCGCCTCACATGGACGGCATGAAGACCGCGAAGCTCTCCAAGTTCCAGCAGCTGCTGCTGACGCTGATGCGCCTCCGCCTGGACCTGCGCAACCAGGACCTGGCCTACCGCTTCGGCGTGAAGGTCGGCACGGTGACCAGGACGGTGCACCAGATGGTCAACATCATGTCCTCTACCTTGGTGCCGACGGCCGTCTTCTGGCCCTCCAGGGCCGAGCTCCGGAAGAACCTGCCGGCGGCTCTGCGCGCCTCCCACCCGGACTGCGCCGTCATCGTGGACTGTTTCAAGGTGCCTTTTGAGGAGCCGGTCTCCCGGGTCAACCAGCAGCATCAGCATCAGGGGGCGGTGCTGAGCTCTCAGGGGGCGAGTCCCAACGTGTTAAAGTACCTGATCGGTGTGGCGCCTCAAGGCGTGGTCACCTTCATCTCCAGGGGCGTGCTGGGAAATGTCAGCGACAAAACCCTGGCGGAGGGCTGCGGGTTCCTGTGCAAGCTCCTCCCCGGCGACGTCGTGCTGGCGAGCCGCGACCTCGACATCGACGACTCCGTGGCCGCCAGAGGAGCCCTGTTGAAAATGGCCGGCGAGGGGGCCCACCAAGGCTCCGAGGCCTCGCCGCCGAGCCCCGACGCCTCCTCGGAGGCGGCCAGCGTGCAGAGGCACGTGGAGAGGGTGATCTCGATGGTGATGCACCGGTACGCCATGCTCACGGGCCCCGTGGAGAGCCCCTTCACCGCGGTCTCCGAGCGCACCTCCAACCTCTCGACCTTCGATAAGATCGTGCAAGTTGCTTGTGCCTTAAACAACCTGTGCATCTCTGCTGCTCCTCTAGAGTGATCGGTACTGACGACTCACGCCTCGTGCTCCTTCATGCTGGACACTTCAGACACTACGACACTTCAGTTCCCTTTACTGCTTTGGACCTCGAGACCTTTTTCTCCCACTACACGATTGATGTAGAAAACCGAGCATATGTGACTCCGCTGTTATCTACATCGCTCCAGAAACCACATTGCTAAGATGCAATAACTTATGCAACTCGGCTGCAAAGGAAGTTTTTTATTTTTTAGTGAGTGTGGTTGGTGCAGGCGATGTGCCAGGCCGATCCAATCCTGTCTTTTTCTTCACAGAACAAATCCTACAGCAGCTGATTGATTCCTCCCAGCTGTTTCTTATAAATAAAGACCAGTGTGCACCAAACAGAGAGACGTTTAAACAAGAGCAGCATGCAGAGTAATGCAGATATGATTTCATATCAATCACTACGGGAGGATTAGCTGCCTGTTAGCACAGACACACACACCGCCCACAGACCAATCTACCACCAAATGGGTAAAGTCTGGTGTTGTTGTTTTCCAGGTTGACGGCAGACGTCTTCTCCAACAGGGCTTTACTGGTGTATTTGTTCTTTACACAAAACAAACAGCCCTTCTTGCAGAACTTTAAACTGCCGGGTGGTAAACTAAGTGGAAACGGACCAAAAGAAGATGAATAGTTTTCACCACAGATGAGTTTAGGCCAGATGGATTCGTGTCCATTCAGTGATTGTATGATTAATGATGTCAATATTTACCACACTAGTGTTTTAAGAGACGTTTGTGCAGGTTACATTTTGTTAAATTCCAGTTCAGTGTTTAGCCTACAATCGTTAAAGCGTTGGAGCATAATATAAAGTAGTCTAACGTAGATAACGGGGAGCAGGGTTATGGATATATTTGACATGCTTCCGTCATATTGGATCAAAGCATCATCCGGCTGCAAGTGACTGAAGGATTGACGTTGTAGAAGGAATGTTGTTGCTTTTGTTCACCGACACTGACGTCACAGACACGCACTGACGTCTTACAGTTAGTTTGTGACGCTTCGTTCGACGTGTTCTGTTTTAATTGATTGGAACCGTTTTGGACCACGAGCTCACGGAGACGCTTCTGTTCGTCACGGTACGAGGCTGCACGCTGTTTTATACCCAAATATGGGCTTTCATGTAGTTTACACCTAAAGAGAATATTTATATTCAGTGCATCATAAAAACAAACCCCCACTTGTTTAAACTCGTCTTTAGTTGTGCTGCATTGCTGGTGCCTTAGTTTGTAAAGCTGGTCCTGATCAGCCTGTGTTTCTACTAATGTTTATTTTTGCATCTTACAATAATCCGTTATTGTTCACCAAGTTTTATGTGAGTGTTCTACGGAAGCTCATTTACGCCGTTGTGAGGAACGAGAATAAAATATTGTGTCTCAGAATAATGAGGTTATTTTTTTTCTTAATGTTTGGACATAAGTATCAAGATTATTTAGAGAAACGTAAGCATTATCTTCCAGATCCCAAGTCATTATTTTGAGATGCTAACTCTTTGTTTTGAGATATTAAGTCATTGTTTTGAGATAGTTTCTCATTATAATGACTTACAGGATTTTCTTTTTAATCACAGTGGCACTAATGGACTTCCATTAACAGTAACAAATGTCCCCCGTTCTGTAACGCCGTTCATCCATCATCTATTTATTGTGTATCAATTCCAAATGATGTCAAACAATAACACGTGTACGATCTCTTATTAACAGACATTATCTGAGGGTTGGTGCTTCGGCTCTGGAACCAAAAACCAGCAGAGTGTGTTTCAGTTCGGCCTGCTGTGGAAGCCCAAAGTGGACGTGCCTTCTTTCCTTTCATGTTTCTCATGTGTTGTTACGTCATTGTTTTATTCCCCTGTGAAGTCTTTAGTTGTTGTTGTTGAGGTGTTTTTTCTCTTCGTTGAACTAGCCCTGGTGGTTATCACTGTTAATGTTATTGGTCTTCTGTAGCAGTCTTTATCTCATTTCTGAAGTGAAGTCTCTGAACTCTGATTTCTGATTGTTGGTTGAATGGATGGAGAAGAAAGCCGTTGTTGTTATAGACTGAGAGGAAACTAGAGGATTATTTTCAGGTGTTCAGAACAATTAAAAGCAGTGATGGTTGAATCTCCATTATGTTCCAGAAGAAATTTGGGTTTTTATATGAGATGATTCTTCTACAAAGCAGCACTTTCCATTAACTCCCAGTCTAAAAACTCCCAGGTTGAGATGAAAGAAACAGATGAACTGGTCAATGTATCCATGATCTTCTCACACTTTACACGACATTGTTCTGCTGTTTGTGTTTATTGTCACGGTCGCATGTGAAACCTTGTTTGTTTTCTTCATTGTTGCCTCTAGGACTGAATCATTAAAGTTTAGGGGAAGCAGCAGCCTTTTTATGTTTGATTTATGTTATTATATTAATAATATAAATCTGCAAACCCTTAGAAATAAAAATAAATTATATAAAATAAAATACAATAATTATATATATTACAGCTACCACGAATTTAAAAGAGTGACTCACCTTGTCCAATAGACGATCTTTACCTTAGTGCATTTTGTTCCATATCCAACGTAAAAATATAAATAAAATAAAATAAAATAAATATATATATTACAGCTGGCACGAACTTAAAACAGTGACTCGCGTTGTCTAATAGACGATCTTCGGCTCAGTGCATTTTGTTCCATTATCCAACGTTAAATAATAAAAATATTACAGCTTCCATGAATTTCTCAGAGTGAATCACGTGGTCCTATAGACGATCTTCTTCTCGGCTCTGACGTGCGTCGGTCCGTCACGTGACCCGAGAGGAATGCGAACAATGCAGCGGACTGTTCCAACTGTGAGCTGCTTTTTCTGCTCCAGAGTCTGAAGGGAAGAAGAAAATGGAGGCTCGTTTCATCACATCCACACCGTTCCTCCGTCTTCACCGAACTACAACCGACAAACGGGCTTAAAGAACACAAAGTCGTCTTTTTGAAACTGGGATTTGAACTCCTCCGGTCCTGACTTCTTCTTCTTCTTCTTCTTCTTCATGGTGAGGTGAGACTTGTTAAAGGGGTGTCGAGGGGAGTGGTGGTCTGAACTTACTGCTGAGGAAAAAGTTCCGTCATGTGTGTGTGTGTGTGTGTGTGTGTGTGTGTGTGTGTGTGTGTGTGTGTGTGTGTGTGTGTGTGTGTGTGTGTGTGTGTGTGTGTGTGTGTGTGTGTGTGTGTGTGTTTTTGGGTGTTTTCTTTACGGTTAACGGGACTTTAATATAAAGCTCCGTTGTTTCGTGCACGAGGAATGCTCTCGTGTTGCAGAGACAGTTTTTGGGGAAAAGTCCACGAGACGTTAAAAAAACCCACAAAGAGAGAAACAGGGTTTTCCAACGGTTCTCACCTCCAGGGGCTAAAAACTACACAGACACCATTTTGTAACGGTTTTTATTAAAAAAACAGCCTTTTGTGGAAATAAACTTCGAATATAGTCTGTTTTTATACTAATTTAAAAGTAATGGCAGTTAATGCGGATGTTGCCATGTTTGTGCAGAAGACCCTTTTTAATGGAGGGGCCCCAGAACTCCATGTTAGGGACCACACAGTTAAAACACAGCTTTAAATGTGCTTTTATTTCAGAGTTTCAGTGGAGATTCTGCATAAAAGGAACATTTCTTACAGCACAACTCTTCTCTATTAATACACACTTAATTCTTAATAACATACTTGTTTTAACGTACTCTAATTTGTTTGTTTACCATATTTTATTTCTAAATATTCCTATTTTCTATTATTTAAATTGTCTTATACTATAACACTGTGTTATTGTTAGGCACTAATCAACAAGTCAAATTCCTCGTATGTGTAACGTATTTGATCAATAAACTGTTTATTATTCTGATAACTTCACAGCGGTGACATGTGGTTTATTAAACAGGCTTTAAAGAGACATAAACAGCAATAACTTGACTGTATTCACTTGAAACATGTTGTATTTGGGGTGAAACGTGTAAATAATACCAGGTTGTAAGTACACATAAAGTTTTTTTTAAAGCCTAAAGGCCTGCATATTTTGGCACTGATACAACCATGTGTTCCATTCAGGTGTACTACTACTACTACTACTACTACGACTACTAATACTACGACTACTAATACTACTACGTCTCTCTTTCTGTTTGACACTCGGTTTATTTCTTTACTTTAATCTCTTTTAGTTCAGGTGTTTGGTTTTGTTAAGAACTCACCTGACAGGTTGTTATATTTAGACTATATGTATATGTGTATACATTTACACACTGAGGCTTACAGAGGCTGTGGAGTTGCAGTCCAGCCGACGACACACAGATGTTAACAGATGTCTATTTAATCTGTGTGATGTGTTTTTTATTTGTATATAACCAGGAACATAGAATAAAACGGAATATCAAATAATCAAACTCTGTGGTGTTAAATGATTTAGACTGTAGACGAACTTGTAGATTATACTTTAGTTTAACATTTGTCTTCTGTTAACGTCACACAGAGAATATATAGATATGTTAAATTCATCTTTCTCTTTTTCACTGACCCTCATGTCTCGTTCACGATGAACTCATTATTTATTCATGAGCACATCTCTGGTAAACACAAGAGATTTAAAGTTCTGCTGTTGATTAAACCAACGAATCAACGAGTCATTTAAATAGAATCACGCTGGAATGCCTTTGGTCGACAGCCTTAAATGTTACCAAATATTACCGAGATACCAGAGCTTATTATAGCCATGTCGTATTAGGAGAAAAACAAACAAACAAACAATAATTAAATATACAGAACTGGAAAAAGGAGGAAGTGGAGCGAGTAGACACAAGAATCTGTTTTTAAGATTTAAAATCTTCTAAAGAATTCAGCAACAAGACAAACTATGAGACGTGATTTTAATTATTTCAGCTATTTGAAGATGGTTAAAAATAAGTTTTATTTCCATTTCCTATCACTTTAGTGAAGAGTTTTCTTGGAGCAGACTTGTATTTCTAGGACACCTAGTGGCCGTTAGAGGAACTGCAGGTTGCATTGATTCATTCCTCCAACAAAGAAGTCGTCTTGTTGGTTTGTTGGTTTGTTTCTCTGCAGGATTACAGAAAAACTAGCGTCGTGATTTTTATGAAACTGTGGACGAGTTTAGCACGAGACAAACTTCAACACTAAGTTTTAAAAGTAGTCGCCATAACTAAAACCTTATATTGTGAGTAGTTCAGATACTATGTAGTTATATGTTATCTTAATAATGACAATATGACAAAGGAATAAAATCTCCTATTGGTACATGCAGCGTTGTCTGGTTCTGACTGTAACAGCAATATTTAAATATCACCAATGCAACAAATATTTAATATTTATTACATATTTAAAAAGTGGTTCCCACTGATGGCAACCAAAGGACAAAAACCATAATATTGAGCCCTGGAGCCATTAAACCTGACGTAATTCTAACAGCTTTGGCAGAATACCCAGACATGAATCTGAAAACGTCACATTTTTTACAGTAAAGTTGTCAAAACAAGTGGAACTGTTTTGATCCACTTGCAGGTTAATCTACCAGAAAGACAAGACTTAAAGACTCTTAGTGACACATGAAGATGTGTTTTTATGAAGTTTGTTGTGTTTTTATGAATATTTTGAGCCTATTGTCAGGTTGAGCGTGGTCCCATGTGGGGTCAGAGGTTAACTTGAGTAGAGATAAGGCTCAGGTATGTATCGGTGGAGGTCGGGGGTTAAGTGTGGAGGTATGTTGTGTTTGTGAGTATGAGTTGTAGTTTTATTTCTTGTAAACTTTAAAGACGTGCATCATCCGCGTATCTTGTTTGTTTTTTGGTTTATTTTGGTCGGACCGTCCCATGATTCACTGCCGCTGTGAGTCGACTTGTAGTTACTTGTGGAATGGAATGCTCACTGGTCGGACACGGCGCCCGAAGCGTCGCAGGAATGGAGGCAAGAGATGCCAGAGACGGGGCAACACACCACCCACCAACAACTTAAAACAAGACGTTTCCCTCTGCACAGTTAGATGTGTACACACAGTGAGGGCTGTGTGCTTCCTAGAAACAGCCCAAGGGAGGGAAGTCTGCCAGGAAGGAGGGGGGGGGCGGGTAGTTCAAGGGCTTCTTATGTTCGGCTGCTTTGGTTTGACCGCCGTGATATGGTCGGGATTTGTTAATGATAATAAGGTAAGTTGGTAAATTAGTGTAAAACCACATGAAATAACCAAACCAGTGTTCATTGTAATTCAATTTGTTTTCTGATCTTTGGCATTACAGTAGACCAAAATGCTCACTTTAAACTCCCATTTAAAAGCTTCACGTTATGACTCATCAAGTCATAGTTTTTACAACTTAGTTTGTCGGAGAAATCACATTTTATTTAATGTCAGTTTAGCGTTTGGTGGATCGCTCTGAACCCTGAAACATCTGTGAGCTTCAGCCGCTCATTTTCTATAAATAAGAAGCCGATCGGAGGCTTGAATCACAGCGGCACCGAGTTTAAAACACGTCATTGTTGCAATAATATTCTAGTCGTGCAAAAATTTACCCAAAAATGTAATAGAACTGATTTTCGGGGTTGTTCATATGTCACGTATTCAGTTGTCATCACTCTACGGTGAATTGATGGAGTGAATAGTTGTAGAATATAATGTTTTCGATGAAATATCATAAATTTAAGGTTTGTTTTGGCTGCTTTTTCTGACGTCGCACACGATGTGTTAAAGGACTGGGGGGGGGGGGTTAAACTTGTGCAATCGCTGCTATGCATTGATGGGGTCCGGAGGAGGGCGGGGGGGCAGGTGGTGTTTTATGACCCAGAACATTCCTGAATTCTGCTTTAAGATGTGCACCAGTCCTGAATCCAGGTTACCGGTTTTTACCGGTTTCAAACTTTAAACATTTCATTCTGTAAACACGTACCAAAAATCAAAGTTCATATTTTGACATGAAATGAAGGTAACGCCGAGTAGAACTTGTCTTTAATACCAGATAACAATAGCAACGTTTATTTCTAAAGCACATTTTGTACACAGGGGGGAGTTCAGTGTGCTTTATCCAAATATACAATGTGATGTAACCCTCTGAACATCCAGCAGCTTTGGGCCACAACAACCATGACTACAAGTAGAGAGAACTAGAACATGTCTTTAGTGCAGAATAACACAGTTGTGACGTGAATGTCCTGGTCTATTCTGAGGTACGTCTTCAACCAGAGGAGTGTTGGCTACCTTCTGTTTTACGTGTTATAGAACATACTGTAGCTTTAACCTTCCTGGCTCACTTCTACATTCTTCAAGAAATAGATTCCTGGTTGAACGATTATGACTCGATGCACAAAACTCAATAATCTGACATTTTAAACTCTATTCTCAACGTTATGATCGCCTGGAACAAGTCGGTGACACCGGGATGTCCGTTCTTTACTGCTGCCCCTGAACGCAACGTAATACACGTTCTAAACTAAACACGAGCAGAGTTTTGATGTTTGTTGAGTATAACAGAGAGATTTATTTGAAGAGAAGTTTGTATTATTTATTTATAATAACAGCAGCTTGTTATGTCACATGACTCAGAACATGCTGACGTTGTGTTTTTACTACGAGGATGTATTTTTATTTATTTTCTTGTTGGTTCTCAAGATAATGGAAGTAGATTCATCTGTTTTTTTTTAACAACAAATATGCATATATGTTTTAAAAATAGCAGATAGTCACATGAGTAAACTAAATTACGTATATATATATATTTTTGATGCATTGATTATCGTTTTCATAATCACATCGTAGCCGTCTGAATCGAGTCGTGAGGTACAAAGAGATTCCCACCCCTCATGTGAACTGTCCTGAGCTTACTTTTTATTATTAAAAAACCCAAAATATAACCATGAACATGATACATGTCAGCCGTCTTATCCGTGCTCTGACTCCTTCTCTTCCTCCACAGGTGGCGACGACCGGCAGCATCATGGTTTGGCTCCACGGGGCCCTCGTGACCGGCTGCATCTCCTGGAATAAGCTGGAACCAGAGCCTTGAAAAGACGCAACATGGAACGCCTGTAGTACCGCACCTTTACCTTCAACATCATCATCATCATCATCATCATCATCATCATCAGGAATCACAAAGAGAGACTCGGAGGAAGCGTCACTGTTTAGGGTTAGCAGCTAGAAGAGGAGCTTTGCGTTTCCCCTCTAGAGGAGCACTGAGGCCATGAGGCCCAAGACTTTCCCAGCAGCCCCGTACGTGGGCAACACCCGCCAGAGGCTCCAGGAGATCAAGGAGGGTCTGAAGCAGCCGGCCAAGCTGGTGAGCCAGGCCCTGCACGGGGGGGGCAGCTCCCGGACCGACGGCGGCGGCGGTGGTAGAGGCGCCGACTGTAAGAGCGGGAAGGACGCCGCCAGCCGGCAGCAGCAGCAGCCCCGGCCCCCGCAGAAGTTCAACAACTACCAGAATGCACTGCGGGAAATCCGCAGGTCCCTCATGCCCTTTGCCAACGAGTCGGGCCCGTCCCCCGGGTCGGGACACCAGGCCGGCGCCGGGGAGGTGAACCGGCAGATGCTGCAGGAGCTGGTCAACGCCGGCTGTGACCAGGTGAGAGAGAGAGAGAGAGAGAGAGAGTGTGTGTGTGTGTGTGTGTGTGTGTGTGTGTGTGTGTGTGTGTGTGTAGATGCTAGTACTCCTTTTGATTCTGCTTATCGGTTCGGTTCCTTTAGAAAAACCTCGCGAAGAAAGAAGTCGGGTATTAAATGCATCATAAAGAACTATTTCCTCACGTGAGGATTTTTAATCCTCCGACATGTTCAGGGTTCATTCGGTAAAAACAGTAAAGTGCAGCATCCATCCTGCCATTCTGGAGCTCAGGACGGGACGATGAAGCTCAGTTTACACTCAGCGTTGTGAAGTCGGCAGGACGTAAACGCGCCAGAGAACTACAGAATCCCGGCCTGCGTGTCGTGTGCAAAAGGCTCTGGGGTTTGGTCGTGCAGCTCTGAAGTTTTCAGACACGACTGTCACAAATATTCACTGATAAAAACACTATCTGAGGTTTCTATGAGTTAGCCGTTTTGTATCTTTTTATCCTTATCTCTTTCCTTTTTTCCAGTACGACTATTGGAAATTCCTTCTTTAATAGATGCCATTTTTTAGGATTTTTTAAACACCTCCTCCATTAGATATCAGTAGTCATACTTAAAAAAGGAGATAAATGAGGATACTCAGCTTCAGCACTATAGAATAAATCCTCCTTGCAGGTTCATTTTAGACACCGAAGCTCCTCCGGTACATTTCAAACATCCGTCAAAGACGACAGAAGAAACTCATACGGCAGCCATTTCCTCGGCTTCGATGCCGGCCGGTCGGCCTCCATTGCTTCCACCGTTTGTGATGAATGGACCCGAGCGGAGCGGAGCGAGTCGATGCAGACAGGAAGTGAACATTCAATGGTCAGCAGGGTGGAACAGTTCCTCCTGCTGCAGGCGAGTCACCACCCAACATGTCGCCTGTCCTCCTCCTCCTCTGGTTCTCTGTCGATGTGTTCCATGAAACCAATAAATATCAAAGAATCCAATACTTTACACGACATCAGAATTATATATATATATATATATATATATTTTTTTTTATATTCCTAAACTGGCATTGCACCCTCAGTGAATGTAATATAATAATAATAACACGGCGGTGCAAGATGGCGATCTCCATGGAAGACAATCCGCTCCACATGTAGATATAAACGGCTACTTCAGGTGATTATACACCGATTAAAACATAGTTATGAATATCATATCCAATATCAGCCAATAAATCCAGTGTGATAGATATATATGCCACTACTGGACTGCCTCTGATGTTAAAGTGTTGAATACACACCTCATCACCTGTACACACACACACGTGATCCTCAGCCTCAGGTTTCAGGCCACCAAACTGAACATTTTAATGATTTTCAGACATAATCCAGAGCTGCTGTCGATCAGCGTGCTTGAACGCCCCTCACCTAATATTTCTCCCTCCACCTCTTCTATAAGCAACTCTTATTCGTTCAGCTCTTATCTCTATCAGCTAACCTCATCATCCTCCTCCTCTCCGTCTTCTCCGGCTGCAAATCACAGAGCAATGCTGCTTGTTACATAACGACCTCTTTCTTTTTTTTTTTGGGCTTCTTTAAAGGGAGGAAATGTTTTGGAGGGGGGAGCGAGGGTGTGGTGGGAGGAAACGAAGGGAAGGAAGGAAGGGAAGGAGGGGTGACCTAAACTCACAGGCCTGTTACTGTACGTACAGGACAGAACGTTTCTGTAACGATGAGGAAGGATCCTGTGCGTTAGTGTTTCCTGACTTTCCTCTGACCACTCATTTCTTTAGTAACTTCCTCTGAAGAAGTTACACTTTCTTTGGCACATTGAGGAGGAGGAGGAGGAGGAGGAGGAGGAGGAGGAGGGTTTTTATGGCTCTCTGTGTGGAAACAGTGCAAAGGCGTCATTCATATGAGTTTGATTTCCTCGTGCTGGAGTGAGTTTCAGATTTAGGTCAAAGAGACAACGAATATCCCAAAAAGGCGTGCGTGTGTGGCTTGTAGGCGTGTGATGGAATATGAGCGAGAAACATCTGTCGCCATGGCAGTCAGGGTCACTTCAGGGTCACTAGGCCCGCCTCCACACACACACACAGTCCAAGAGAGGAAGCGTGGAACAATAAAAAGCATTGTTACTGTGTTTTGATGGTTCAATATTTCTCTAGTAACCAGTGACACATGGAAGCCTTTAAGGAGACGTGTGAACACGTCTCACCTGCAGGTGCACCTCCGCCTTGTTGGTACCTTTAAACACTTAAAAGTACCTCATTACAATCTGACTGCAGACGTTTGTCTCTAATCCTTTTAGCTCCACACTGTCAGAAATGCTCCAAAAATACCTCATGTTGCATTACTAAACTTAATATCTTACATAATTATCTTTTGTGTCATTAAAGCAAATAAGGAATTAAAAGCAGGAGGAAAGACGAGGTAGAAGGACATAATGTGACATTACTGGGCGTCTCTGGCAGCCAGCACTCTCTACTGGCTACTCAGGAATGCAACACACGCACGCACACACACAGGAAACTGAGTATAAACAGTGGTGTGTGTGTGTGTGTGTGTGTGTGTGTGTGTGTGTGTGAACACGTGGATGCAATGGGAGGGGTTGACAGCAGGCGTGTGCACGCTGTATTTACACCTATGTAGACGCACTGTGATGGACACACACACACACACACACTACAGAGGGCGTAGAGAGTGTGTGTCCGTGGTATTTCCTGGCTGTGCCCACTGTTGCTGCGTGGTCCGACTTTTAATCCGTTCATGTTTAACAGATGACGCTGGTCAGCGTCAATCCAGTAATAAGAAGTTGCTAAATGCATTTTATTTGACCCTGTTGTTGTGACTCGAGGTTCCTCTGAGTGATTTATCATCAGCAGCACTTTGTATCCGTCGTAAAGGTTTAACGTCAGGAACCATGTGCTCAGGTCTCCTGCTTCTTGTTCTACTTCCGGCAGCAGCCTGAATGTGGTTTAAAGGACTTTCTGATGGCAGAGCAGCGGAGAGGCCGTCGCAATAATCCATAAGTCATAATGCATGTGTTGACATGGCTGCAGAGCACCAGTTCCTTCATATCTATGGTGTAAAACTACACCTATAAGAAACTGAAGACTGCTTATGATTGTGATTATCCTGAAGTTACTCGAGGAATCAGCTCGTGGCTTAAAGAAGACAACTGGGAATGACGATGTGATAATAACTATGAGGCGTCTCGGTCTGAGTGAGAAGCGTTTAGGTTAAATGAACACAAGAAGAGGACTGATCGGCGTAGTTAAAGGAATGCTCCTCATGTCTCCTCCCTCACATTTTTGCCGCTTCGACTCCGGCGTACATTACACAGCAGCCGACCAACCGACATTTCTCACATAGGTGACCTACATCGCTGAGGGCCTCTACAGCGAGCCACCTGCTGGAGCCAAAGCATGATGAGTGTGTGTGTGTGTGATGGAGGAGGCAAGTAATTAAATAAAATAGAGTTTTACGTGAAGAATGAGGAGAATTCAATCTGCAGAGATCTTAAAGCGAAGTTGTGGAAGCTGCTTTTCCACTCGGTTAACTTTGTGGGTTTTATGAGATACTTTAATCAGTATCTGTTGTGTATAATATTTTGAATATCTACACCACTTTACCTTGTCGTTGGATGGGAAAGATGCTGTCTATGCCCTCTTTAAAGACTCTGAAGAGACTGAACTGTTTCTTAAAATAATATTTTTATTGTACTTTTTATTTCTATGAGTTCTTGTGTTTCGACACTAAGAAACTCTTCATTTGTCAAATGTAAATAAGGAGTTGTTATAGTAAAGTAAGGTACTGTAACTGTTTTGTTTCTCAGGAGATGGCGGTGCGGGCGCTGAAGCAGACAGGAAGTAGAAACATTGAAGCGGCTCTAGAGTACATCAGTAAAATGGGTTACCTCGACCCGCGCAATGAGCTCATCGTCCGCGTCATCAAGCAGACTTCACCAGGTATGAAAACACTTTCTCTGCCCTATTTATATTTACTTCATGTGCTTATTGATCCAGTTACTTGTTGCAGCAGAAGATAGATGTTGTATTTAAAAAACACACAAACATAAAGGAAATATAAATAATATTACAATACAGGAAGAGGCAGAAAACCCACTGGGCTTATTTGAAGCCTTCATCTCTATAATAATAACATTTCACAATATTATAAAGAACACAAAATTAATACATGGAAGATATGACTACGTAATATTGATGACAAAGTATTTTAACAATAGTAATGCTACATGTGAGTGAAACAGCTGTGGATAAAGTATAAAACCTGAAACAAGGAGTACATGGACAATACTACACAAGGAAAGCAAATAGAAAACAGCAATTAAATACTCTTTTAAGATCTTGTTCCTTGTTTTTTAGGAAAAGCGGTCATGCCAAACCCGATGGACCACCGGCCCCCGTTAGAGGCTCCAGGTGAGGCAGGTGTGATGCCTCAGTACCACCAGATGGGGGCTCCCATGTACGAGGGGCCCGGTGGATACGGCCCCGAGGGGGAGATGCCCAGACCTTACATGAGCGCTCCCCCCGTGATGAACTACATGATGCCTCCGTCTGGTGCGGCGCAGGGCCCGGCCATGGGAAACCCGATGGGTCGGCCCCCCAGCATGGGCGCCTATCCGCCGGTGATGGCCGCCCAGAGCAACCCGGCCAATGCCATGTACCCGCCGGGGGCCCAGCAGAAGGGCTACCCTTCTATGGAGCAGCACGGAGCCATGATGAGCTACACCGTCCCCGGCCAGCCGCTGCAGCAGCTCCAGCCTCAGCCACCAGGGGGCCCCGTCCCAGGCCCCCACTACGACTACGGCCACGCCCGGCCGCACATGATGGAGCCGGCCGGCTACGGAGTCAAGAGGACCGCCTCCTTCCAGAACAAGATGGCGCCGCCCATGGGCCAGAGTGTTCCTGGAGGAGGAGGGTACCCGGCTAACCTGTACCTTCCGCCTCACTCCCACCCGCGCCAGGCCAGCCCCACCTCCCACCAGGTCCACATGATGTCCCGCTCTCCGGGCGACTTCTCCGACATGCCGCAGGGCTTGATGACGCCCTCCAGGGCCAGCCTCAACCTGGACCTGTACGAGCTCCACTGGGCAGGGCCTCCGGGAGCCGAAGGGGCGCCTCAAGCCAGGCAACCTCAGGGCCCCTTCAGGGGAGAGGTGCGTGTGCCCAGCAGAACCAACTCCTTCAACAGTCGCTCCACGGGGCCCAATGGCGTCCGGCCCGTGATGGCTGCGCCGCCGCCCACAGCTGGTAAACAGGACCCCTCCCTGGGCCCTCCGAACACCATCACGGCTGTGACGTCCCCGCCCATCCAACAGCCGGTCAAGAGCATCCGCGTGATGAGGCCGGAGCCCAAGACGGCCGTGGGGCCGTGTCACCCCAGCTGGATGACGGCTCAGGCCCAGGACGCCGCGGAGCCTCTGGCCTACATGCCGGAGGAGACCTACTCCCATGAGCCGGCGCAGGAGCAGCGCTGCCCGCCGCCGCCTTACCCCAAAAACCTGCTGATGGAGGAAGGAGCCGGGGTCATGTGCGGAGCCCAGGACCTCGGCTCAGCGGCCAGAAACAGCGGCGGGAGCGCAAAGGCCGAGGAGAGCCAGCAGGTGAAGGAGAAGACGAAGACGGGCAAAGGAGAGAAGATGGTGAAGGACAAGAAGCAGATCCAGACATCGCCCGTTCCCGTGAGGAAGAACGGACGAGACGAGGAGAAGAGGGAGTCGCGCATCAAGACCTACTCGCCCTTCGCTTTCAAGTTCTACATGGAGCAGCACATAGAGAACGTGATGAAGACCCACCAGCAGAAACTGAACCGCAGGCTTCAGCTGGAGCAAGAGATGTCCAAGGTGAGACCAGCCAGGAAGCAGTGAGATGACGGTGATGTTTGAGTCTTAAGTGTCTTAATTATTGAACGTAACCTCTGTGTTTTGATGCCCTGCATATCCTGTAATTTGCGTCAGTGTTTCTTCTGTTGAGTCATGACTTTGGCTTCTGCCCTTTGACCTGCTTTAAAGTGGTCGAAAGGCTTTCTTTCGAGAAGATACCGCGGATAGTTCTGTAACAGGAACAGTTCAAATTGACAGCGAAGCTCAGGGCCACATTCCTACGTCACTACCGATCACACGAGTACATTTAACTTGTTTTCAAGTTGTTTGTTTCGTCACATACTTGTGTTCTGTCCCAGGCCGGCCTGTCTGAAGCAGAGCAGGAGCAGATGAGGAAGATGCTGAACCAGAAAGAGTCCAACTACAACCGGCTACGCCGAGCCAAGATGGACAAGTCCATGTTTGTCAAGATCAAGACGTTGGGCATCGGGGCCTTCGGTGAAGTGTGTCTCACGCGTAAAGTGGACCTGGGAGCTCTTTATGCCATGAAAACACTGCGCAAGAAGGACGTCCTCAACCGCAACCAGGTGAGCTAGTTCACTGCTGTTCACGTGTGAAGAAGTTTGTGAGTTTGTACCAGTTACATAGAGAACTTCATCACTTTTTACCATGTGTGTTATACGGGTGTAATGGTATTCATGGTTCAGTACGTACCTCGGTTTTAGGGTCACGGTTCAGCAAGTACCTGAATCTTTGGATCGCGGTACGGTATGTACCTCGTTTTTGAGGTACACGCGTCAGTTTTTGGGGTCATGGTTCGGTACCTACCTCGGCCTTTGGGTCGAGTTTCAGCACATATATAAAGTTTTTGGGTCACAGTTCAGTAAGTACCTTGTTTTTGAATCGTGGTTCGGTAAGTTTTCGGCACAATAGAGGAAACTAAGACGATGCAGAAAATGTAATTTGTTCATTTAATTTTTGAAAAATGAACGTTGCTCATCGGCCATAGTTCTTATTTTAGCAGTTAAGGTACTTAAATACAGGCATATTGTCAATGAGAAATGAATCAATAACAAAAATAAGACCGAGCACAACAGCGATACTCTAGTCTACAGCATTGGTTGCTTTGGCTGTTCTGTTACCAGTCAGTTTTTTGTTTGGTTCCACTAATCGACACATTCTGGTGAAGCCGTCGTAAAGTAAATGTTTGAAGTGTATCCACGGATAAACCAGTTAAACTGTCAGCGTTTAGTTAACCGGGCTAAACCTACTGGTATGCTGCAGCTGACCACTACTGGTGTGCGGGTGAAACTTGCGCTCCAGAATTCCTGAACCGAACCGAACGTCTTGCACAGAACGGTTTAAAACAAATACATCGTTACATTGTATTCGTATTAAACGTTGTACTCCGTCTGGTGCAGGTGGCCCACGTGAAAGCGGAGCGCGATATCCTGGCGGAGGCCGACAACGAGTGGGTGGTGCGTCTCTACTACTCCTTCCAGGACCGCGACAGCCTCTACTTCGTCATGGACTACATCCCCGGCGGAGACATGATGAGCCTGCTCATCCGGATGGGCGTCTTCCCCGAGCCTCTGGCGCGCTTCTACGTGGCGGAGCTGACGCTGGCCATCGAGAGCGTCCACAAGATGGGCTTCATCCACCGCGACATCAAGCCCGACAACATCCTTATCGACCTGGACGGACACATCAAGCTGACGGACTTCGGCCTGTGCACGGGCTTCCGCTGGACGCACAACTCCAAGTACTACCAGAAGGGTGAGGCGGCTTGATTAATGTCTGTGAAGGTATAACATGTAATATTCTCTTCCATCACAGTTTTACCTACTTCTTACTCATTTATCTCTACTAGAGAATCATGTTTCAGACACTATTAAAGAGAGACGCTGTGTGTTCTCAATCAGAAAGGTGTCGGGTGCTTCTGGAGACCTTTTCTTCCCGTCCAGCTCACCCAGACGTTGTGTGTGTTTCTTCCTGCGTACGGTTTAACAACATTGTCCCCCCCCCCTCTTCTTCTGCCTCCAGGGAGCCACGTGAGACAGGACAGCATGGAGCCCAGTGACTTCTGGGACGACGTGTCCAACTGTCGCTGCGGCGATCGGCTGATGTCGCTGGAGCAGAGCGCCAACCGGCAGCACCAGCGCTGCCTCGCTCACTCTCTGGTGGGAACGCCCAACTACATCGCACCCGAGGTGCTGCTGCGCAAAGGTGGGGCGAGATTCAGCAGAGCCGGTGTCTGAAATAAAGTGTCTGTCGGCTGGAGTTTAGATTCAAAGGCAGCCGATGTTCGTGTTGGTATCAGAGAGCAGAGATGAAGCTAGAAGATGGACCTGCAGGATTTCAATGTTCTGTGAAAGCTTTACACCTGTTGAGACAGGAACTGATTTAGTGTTTTTTCTTTGCATTTGCCACCTGATCATTTCAGACATTGTGGTACATAGTGGTTTGTTTGATTTGGCCTAATTTCTTTACTTTGAAATTTTGAATTTTAAAGTTAAGCAAACATGGTTAAAAAAAAGGTTTACTCTCGTTTTTTATTTTTATATTAGGCATTTAGTTTAGTTTAATATTATCCTGGATACCCGGGGTTCTCTCCATTTGTAACTTCTGGTTGTTAAAAAAAAATAAACTGGACTGTAAATATGTTTTAAACCGCTGTACGCTACAGGGACCCATCAATATGGTTTAGGTTTAATTGAACCATTTGGCAGTACCTCTGCCTCCACTAGATGGTGGCCTGAAGCCACCACTGTGTGAGAATAACTGCTTTATTACATTAGAGTAAGAACGAGTCCGTGAAAGTTTACCGTCATAAGGAACGTTATTGTGAATCAGACGTCACAGTGTAACAACTTCTACCCCGCAGTACTCGTGCAGTAGAGTTCATCAATATTTGGACTCATTTGTTGTATATTAAAAATAAGACATTAACTTTAATGTTTAAGAGCTGACAGGGAGCTTTAATTTGAGAGAACAGTAGAAGCTGTAGCCCAGGTTTTTGTCCTGTTACATTTATATCAATGCGCTGATGTTTAGTAAATGTGTGTCTGTGCAAACACTTATAATGGAGGATTTGTGCTGACTGTGGTATTTGTGTGTTGTTGTGCAGGTTACACCCAACTGTGTGACTGGTGGAGCGTTGGAGTGATCCTGTTTGAGATGCTGGTAGGACAGCCGCCCTTCCTGGCCTCCACGCCCACCGAGACTCAGATTAAGGTCAGTGAAGAAGAACGACATCCCTGCTTTGATTTAGAATGACGGCTGTTTTGCCTGTTTGTATGATTGTGACATGCAACAGAGTTTCTTCTTTAAGACTGACCTGAGAATAGTAGGTGAGCTGTGATCACCTCTTTGTGTGTCTGCAGGTCATTAACTGGGAGAGCACGCTGCAGGTTCCCGCTCAGGTCAAACTGAGCCCCGAGGCCGTCGACATCATCGGCCGTCTCTGCTGCTCCGCGGAGGACCGCCTGGGAGCCAACGGCGCCGGCGAGATCAAGGCCCACCCGTTCTTCGCCCAGATGGACTTCTCCAGCAACCTGCGGCAGCAGCCGGCGCCCTACCTGCCCAAGATCGCCCACCCGATGGACACCTCCAACTTCGACCCCGTGGAGGATGAGGGTGTCCCCGGGGCCTGGAGCGACAGCGGCGACAGCACCCGGGCTCTGGACACGCTCTGCTCGCCGCACGGGAAGCACCCCGAGCACGCCTTCTACGAGTTCACCTTCCGCAGGTTCTTCGACGACAACGGATGCCCCTTCCGCTACCCGAAACCGCTCGAGGCCAGCGCCGGCCCGGACGAGGTGGACGGCGAACACGATGACGAAGAAGAAGAGGAGGAGGACGACGACGATGAAGAGGAGGAGGGCGAGCAGGGGGAGGGGTGTGAGCCGGTGTACGTGTAGAGCCGCAGACTGAACGGCGTGCGACTACCACAGGTGTTCTTGAGTTTGACTGATGAACGTTATCCCCCCCCCCCCCCCCCCCCCCTTTTGTGGAATCTATAGCGCGTCCACAAACCTCCTCTGATCCGGGACCAAGAGACCACATTCTGTGTGAGACTGACTGCAGACGAGCGTGAAGAAGAGTCAAACCGTTCAGGTTGAAGGAGTATTTGTTGGGAATGTAAGATTGTTTTCTGGTCCCATTCCTTTTCCAAACCTTCGTGTCTTAAACGGACGACTGGAGCGCTGATCTTCTGACCGGAGTGGAACCCGATTTCACCCGTGGATTTCGCAGGAAGAGGAGGAGACTGAACGAGCAACACGCCTCTTTTCACGGCTGCTGCAAAAATAAGCTACAAAGACACTTTGCATGCACGTGCACACACACTCACGTATTCAGTCATACAGGGTTTGGGGGGTTTGGGGGGTGGGGGGGGGGGGGGGTAAAAAAGACGTCTCTGCAGGTTAAATTTCAGCGTCCATGTTTCAAGAAGTATGCTCGACGAACAAATTCTCCTGAAGAATAGTTCGTCGTGCTTCTTTGTGGCGTGAGAGAGAGAGAGAACGCGTCACCTTTGTTTTGGCAGCATAAAACCAAAAAGATTCAAAAGAACCTTTTCTATCCTCAGCTGCCTCATTTTGTGCGGACTGTTGTTCAGTGGAACGTTTTCTTTCCTCGTCGCTGTTACAAATATTCTGCTCAAGATCAGCCTCAATACAGGAAGTCACAATTAAATACATTAAAATGTGCTTAAAAGGCAATAAAACAATACAAGTAAGGTTAGTAATGAAGAGAAGCAGCAGATTAAAAACCTTGTTTTATAAAACGCTTCCTGTTACTGATCCTTTATTATAACGAACCATTTCAAATCCTACAAAAAGGAGTCCGGATGAGTCTCTTGATTCTGTTTTTATTGGGATCAAAGTAGCGTTTATTGAGCCCAACATGCGCTGAATCTCCCGTAATCAATCACAGGAACAATTGCATCAAGAAAGCAAGAAAATAAATGTTCTTACGTTGAAGTTCTACTTCTTGAGAACTCGTTTTGTTTTTAAGAAGGGAACCGACGAACGGAGAGAAACCGTATTTAATAAGATAAGTAAAGAGGAACCTGAACCCCGTTGGGTCGGATGGTGCTGAGTTGGTTTCTGACTGAGAATCAAAGCTCCAACACACACACACACACACACACACACACACACACAGATGCACAATTTACAGCTATTTTGCAAAGATGAGTTGTAACTGAAGCGGCCTCGTCTTCATCGTCTGGAGGCAGTCATGACAATAGTTCTTGTGATAGTTTGACTACGTGCAATACAAAAAAATATACATTAAATATAGTTTTATAAACACTTAATATCTTTTGTTTTGAACGTGTTTTTTTTTTTCGTAC